GAATCTAGAGGCTGTGAATAGAGGGCGTGGGGGTCGGGGGTCTAAATCTAGGCCACCATCACCTACAATCCAACCCGCAATATTAATGTCAACAAAATACTGGCTATAACACTGAGCGCCCCCGGTTCACGACACCCCGGGTTTTGGTCCCATCCGCAATACTAGGCCCGTATTATGAGTTCTGAAAAGATTATAACGTAATTTAAAATAAACGTATACAATGCCATACTGAAAGTAAAATACCGTGTCTGTAGATCTTTTGATCCTAAAATAATTTTATTCAACTGTCGATTAATAAAAGTATTAAATATTTTGTTTGAATCTGTATTGAATTTGTTTTTTGTTATAATTAGGCCTGCATGCTGCCTGAGAAGTATGTATTGTGTAATAGTTATCGCGTATGTCTTCTTTATATTCGAAAGTAATAAAAGCTAAAATGTCCTACTTCTTCTGGATCAACCGGGATAATGAAATCAGGTAGTCCCTATACGAAATGAAATGAAACGAAATGGGGTTTAACGTCCTACTGTTCTGCTCCTATGCTGGGCTAATGAAGACGGGCATACGCCATACAGTGTGCTATGAGGGAAATTTTCGCCGGGCAGCGGCACTATCGCCTACTCTTATATCGAATTCCAACTGCCAAGGGATCTTTTACGTGCATTCCAATGTATACACGGGACCTCGGTTTTTCGTATCATTCAAAGGACTAGACAGCTGTCCTTGTCAGGCCCTCCGTCCTGCATCACTGACAAGGGGGAACCACGCCGGAAAATCTTGATGAACTTTCTCGGCCAATGCAGGGATCGAACACCCGACCTTCAGGCTAGCGAGCCAGCGTCTTACCCACTTAGCCACGTGATCCCCTAAATGGGGTATACGACAGGGGCGTGGTGACCCATGATTTTGCATGAGGAACAAGATCCTGCCCGGGCCCCCAAAACAAATATTTATATATGTGTGCGGAAAGGGGGGGGGGCTCCCAGCATAGGCGTACGGGGAAAGTTTTGACTGGGGGGGGGGGGCGGTGGTGGTTGGTGCCCAAAAAATGTAGTTAGGTTCTTAGTATGTTACATAATAATAATAAATTCGCTGTTAAATTGGACACATTCAAGAACACAATATCTTTTTTATACAACTTTTACAAAATACAATTGTGTGCCCAAATTTTCCCAGCATTTGGTGTCCAAAATGGGGGGGCAGCCGCCCCCCCATCCCCCCACCTCGTACGCCTATGGCTCCCAGTGCCGCCGGACGATTTGTAGCATATCTGACCCACGGTATATGTTTGACACTGGTTAAGCATTATGATTACAATGTTGAAAACCGCATTGTAGCCGCGTGATTTGCGTCATGGTTTTGAGTTTTTTCGCCCTCTTGAGTTTTTGCGCCCCCGCTCAAATGGCAAAAATGCGGTTTTTAACATTATAATCATAATGCTTAACTAGTATCAAACATATACCGTGAGTGGGATATGCTACAATTCGACACAGCCCAAAATTACCCGGTGGCACTAGGAGGGACTGTCACAGAACCCCCTCCCCCGCACACACATATGAATATTGTTTTTGGAGGGCCCGGATGCAAAATCATGGTTCACCACGACCCTGCATTGGCCGAGAAAGTTCATCCATTTCATTTCGTTTCACTTAGGTGGAAGCGGACGTTATATATAGCTATTTCACCTATATGTTTCATAAGTAATGGTCGGTCGTTAAACCCTATTTCTTTCTATCTCCACCATCTTGTTACCTTTAATTAAACACACCTGTTAAATTACACAACAGCGTGTGGTATTTCACACCTGGTTTACCGTTCACATAACTCATTATACCGCATATCCTAAATACACGGTGACCTTTGACCTTATTATAGGTAATGTACGGTACGAAGTGAAGACTATAATTGGTTTATTTGTACGGGACACAGACATCTATTGTTGAAATTTATCCACATTTGACTCGTATGGTCTGTTTGGACAAATTGTTAGGTTGGTGGTGAAATAAAATGACAGAGAGAGAAATGGGGCTTAACGTCCAAACGACACAAACTAGGTCATTTTGGGACTAACAAATGGTTCAATTTTATTTCAATAATTCGCTTGCACATAGGGGTCTTTAGCAGTGCGAGGAATCCGGAGGACCCGGAGAAACCCCACGAGGTTGGACAGGCGACCATACCCCTTGTCACGTAAAACCACGCCAGTTGATTCAATGACAGACCTTATGATACAGCGGCAGCGCGAAAACGCTAACCATTCGGACATCCAACCCACCCTGGAATATAATGACAATATACTTCTGAATGAATGAATGAAGCAACGGGATTTAACGTCCTACTTTTCTGTACCATCCGGCTTTATTTAAACCGGGAAAATACTATACAGTGTACTTATTATTACAGTGTTCGATGTCCCTTATAGCACACTGCATATCCTGGTACGTGCAGAAAAGTAAGACGTTAGACCCCATCTCTATTAAATATGACGGGGATCACGTGGCTAAGTGGGTAAGACGCTGACTCGCTAGCCTGGAGGTCGGGTGTTCGATCCCTGCATTGGCCGAGAAAGTTCATCCAGATTTTCCGGCGTGGTTCCCCCTTGTCAGTGATGGAGGGCCTGACAAGGACAGCTGTCTAGTCCTTCGGATGAGTCGAAAAACCGAGGTCCCGTGTATACATTGGAATGCACGTAAAAGATCCCTTGGCAGTTGGAATACGAAATAAGAGTAGGCGATAGTGCCGCTGCCCGGGCAAAACTTCCCTCATAGCGGAGCAGAACAGTAGGACGTTAAACCCCATTTCGTTTCATTTCATTTCATTATTAAATATGACGATAATGTATCCTTATTACGCGTTTCTCACTACTCTTCATCAAATTTCAACTGTCAACGTGTACACGGGACCTAGGTTTTACGTCCTATCCGAATGACTAGACACTGCCCTTTTCCGGCCTGGGCAGTGGCGCTCGGTCTATTCTTATTCTAAACATCCAACCTTAATTGATACTTTTACGTGCACACCAACGTGAACACGTGACCTCGCTTTTTTTCACTAGAGAGAAATGAGATTTAACGTCCACTCGACACAAACTAGGTCATTTCGGGACTAACATATGGTTCAATTTTATTTCAATAATTCGCTTGGGAGTATTGGTCTTTATCAGAGAGGAGACGGGAGGACCCGGAGAAAACCCACGAGGTTGGACCTAAGATGGAACCTCCAGGTTAGCAAACCAACGTCTTACTCACTGAACCACCAACCTTAAAACGTGAAGAAACCAGACGAGGCAGATGCATCCTTAAATGCATGGTATGTATACATTGCTACCGTTTTCTCAAGGACGACTGGTGTTATAAATAAGTGTTCGAAAACTATCCTCTTCTTCTTTTTACTATGGGGGGTTGGATGGCTGAATGGTTAGCGTGCGCGCGCTGTATCATAAAGTCTGTCATTGAGTCGACTGGCGTGGTTTCGAATCCCCGGTTGTACGTGACAAGGAGTAGGGTCGCCTGTCCAACCTCGTGGGTTTTCTCCGGGTCCTCCGGTTTCCTCCCACTGCTAAAGACCCCACGCGCAAGCGAATTGTTGAAATAAAGTTAAACCATATGTTAGTCCCGAAATGACCTAGTTTGTGTCGAGTGGACGTTAAACCCCATTTCTCTCTCTCTCTCTTTTTACTATAATAAAAATGAAGAAATGTTGTTTCCGTATTATAACAAATACAGTTTACAAATAATTTTAATTTTTTCTCCGGGTCCTCCGGTTTCCTCCCACTGCTAAAGACCCCTACGCGCAAGCGAATTGTTGAAATAAAGTTAAACCATATGTTAGTCCCGAAATGACCTAGTTTGTGTCGAGTGGACGTTAAACCCCATTTCTCTCTCTCTCTTTTTACTATAATAAAAATGAAGAAATGTTGTTTCCGTATTATAACAAATACAGTTTACAAATAATTTTAATTTTACCGAACCAAACAGCTTTTAAGTTGTTTTTTTCTTCAATCTTGATGAAAAAACAAGAGCAGGTTCTCTTGTTTTTAAATAAAATTCAAAAATTGAAGCAATATGGACCGATGAACATTTATAAGACACGTGCTGGGTCGGTGGGGGTGGGGGAATATTGCTTCGAAAAAAAAATTCAAACATTTTTTTTTTGTTATGATATTCAATAAAACAGAGAATTTTGTAAACAATATTTTATTTTAAATGTACGAAAAGGGATCAGGGAACAGGCATAGCCTATATCACCCCTCTACTCAAGAGGATTATTTGTATTATGGTCATAGGCCGTATATTTCACATGGTCCATGATCCGACCAATCAACCCTTAGAACAGATTGTTTGATGACCGGATAATAAAGGGGAATTAACTGGATAACGTCCAGTGAAATTAAAACATAATAAAACCCCTATAAAATTAGACCCAACACAAATCAGGGGCCACAGATTGCAGAAGATATAAAAGCTAAACAATTTGTTCGAATCAATTGCCGAAAATTTGGCTATATTCTATGAAAGGATTTAATTAACAAAATTAGCTGTTTATAAGTTTATGGCTTTTACATATTTTCGAATAATAAAAATAAATGCAATAAAATATAAATCTTGTGGCCATTTTGGAGAAGATGTGATAAGAAATATTTCCGTTCTCATACTTTATTGCCTTTAATTTTCATATGAACTTTAGCCGCACCGCACCCACTCTTTGTCATTTTTCGGAACAGGTGCGTTCAATATGTTTCGGTAATGGAGTTATTTCCCTTTAACCGCATTCATAAAATACGCTTCATAATTAATTTCAGCCCCACATTGTTGATCAGGAGGATGCGTCTTTTGTGGACTAGACAAACAAACGAAACTAATAAACTCCCTAAACTGTATTCTATATAATGATTTTTTTCCACGATGAAAATTATGAATAAATTTGACCGAATTTCCCGTATTTATCCATAAAATTTACTCATCTGCCCAAGTGTTCGCGTCTGCGCAGAAAAGTCATCCGGGGTAGTTTAGAAATGCAATAATGGCGGCTATAGTAAGGTGAATAGCATGATCGAATTTTAAGTATATCGCCATCTGTATGTACATAATAACAAGACACTCACTTTATTTACAAGTCTTAGAAAAGCAAAATGATGCAGAATGTTGCTCAGACTAAAGCAAACGAAATACAAGATGTTAGACGAGTGGAAATAGACGAAAATAGCCAGACACCATCTTTAGAAAACCCAGGTCCAGGAGAGATTAATGATCCCTCCTCAGTTTTTGTGGCAGAAACCTCGAGTGAGGAAGACGAGCCATCGGAGGTATAAATTTGTGATTAAATCTTGATTGCTGTGTTTATTTCGTGCATTTATTTTTAGATAGGAGTGGTGTGATGACAGTTATTCATCTTTTGATCAAAGTGTGTAGTTTTTCCGAGACGGTTTCACAACCACGTTTGTCATGACCAGCAAGATTAATAAGGTTACTGCTCCTCTGTGTAAATGAAAGGAGATATGTGGACGTTGGTGTCTGATTTGGGGTTTAAAAGGCATGTTGACTTTAGTTTGATGTTTGATTAAAATAAATCTTGGGTTAATAACCAGTTTTTTTCTCTAATGATGTCATGAATAAATCATATCAACAGGAAAGCTGAAAGGTCAAAGTTCATAATGGCCTTAGGTTACATAAAATTAATTCTAAAGTCAAAGACTCCATGGAGGTTTATTGTGATGTGAATTTGCATAATTGAATATGTAAATGAGAAAATCAATTAAGTTAAAAAGAGAATACCTATAATTTATTCTGAGTCATCATTCACAACAAGAACTTTGAGTTGGAACAGACAAAGACAGCATGCATGCAACATTTTCCATATTTTATTCCTTTTAGTTTCTAAAAATGAGATGATTTGCATGTGGAGTTGAATGGAATTAAAACAAAGATTTAGTGCAGCATGTTGTTATTCACAATCCTATGTGAATTTATCTGATTTTTAGTAGATTGTTACTGAGATGGTAGGAAAATTAGAATCTATATTAGAACATAAGTTTTTTGGTTTAAACCAATTCTTGCACACAATCTATTTGTCATCCTTGCAGATTTTTCTTGTGGAATTTTTGAGTACCCGTCAATGTTATTTGGGTGATTGATGGTTTGGTTGTGTAAGATTGATAAGAAAACTTACAAATTGATAGAGTATTAATCAGGTTAAATTAAATGTGATGTGTAGCTTGGATATGTTTTATGATTTTGGCTTGTTATTATAATCACTGATTCGTTAATTCAGTGGTTCTCAACCTTTTTTCTGCCAAAGGCACACCTTGGAACACAAGAAAAAATAGCAGCACACCTGGCTAAATATATTTGATTTTTGCAAAATAAAAACATGGTAAGTCACACAGCATACAACTGTAGACAGAGACTAGTCGTGGACATATAGAATGACTCAAACTACATAAAGAAAAACACAGCTATGAAATTATCAGTAGACAACAGTGAATACGATACTCAGTTGGGATCACATGGGTTTTTTTTTCACATTTTCTTACCGTGCCGTTCAAAATTTTGCGGCACTCATGGGAAGTTCTCACATTGGATGAGAATCACTGAGTTACTTGTTTTATACATGTAAATATACATTTACATGTACCGTATATCTATTAGACAGGGATTGTATATATAAGGAACAGGATTAGCCGAAGATATTTTATATCAATGAGTCAATGTAAATGACTTTGTTCTTACATATTAATCAACAAAAACAACAACATCGGATGAGACGAAAAACCGAGGACCTGTGTATACATTGGCTTTCACGTAAAAGATCTCTTGGCAGTTTGAATTCGATATAAGAGTAGGCCATAGTGTCGCTGCCTGGGCAAACTTTTCCTCATAGCACACTATATGATGTATGTTCATCTTCATTAGCCCGGTATAGGACTCAGCAGAACAGTAGGATGTTAAACCCCATTTCATTTCACTTCAGAATTCCAACTTAAACAGGTTATTAAGATAACCAATGGACATGCTGTAAGCATACTGATATTTTAACAATGCAACATTTTAGCATGGAAATATACAACTGCAAAAGACAATGTTTGATAACTGTACAACAAAACAAATACAGAACAAACCATACAGTAGAGACACATAACACATTTCTAGAGAGAGAGAGAGAGAAATGGGGTTTAAGGTCTACTCGACACAAACTAGGACTTTTCGGGACTAACACATGGTTCAATTTTATTTCAATAATTCGCTTGCGCATAGGGGTCTTTTGCAGTGGGAAGATCCGGAGAAAACCTACGAGGTTGGACATGCGACCCTACTCCTTGTCCATCACATTTCTAGAGTAGATACATGTATATAACTGGTGAAGGAAACAAGGACAGAACAAACCATGCAGTAGACAAAGTGTAATTAGATGTACATCACTAGGGCAATATATACATGTAGCCTACATGCATCTTATCTGTCAGTTTTTAGTCTTTTCCTCAATACTTTTAAAGTACAATAAAATAGCATGTCCTTGTTGAAATAAAAATACAACCATTTTAACCAGTAAATACATGTAGCAGTCATGTGGAGTGGGTCATTGTCTTATCTAATTACATTCCCTGGTTGTACGTGACAAGGAGTAGGGTCGCCTGTCCAACCTCATGGGTTTTCTCCTGGTCCGTCGGTTTCCTCTCACTGCTAAAAACCTCTATGGTTAAGCAAATTATTGAAATAAAATTGAACCATATGTTAGTCCTGAAATGACCCAGTTTGTGTTGAGTGGCGTTAAATCTCTCTCTCTCTCTCTCTCTAATTACACATGTAACAAAAAATTGAATTGATACAACACAGTCAGTCTGAACATTTTAATATAGCCTAAACGTCCATTTCTTTAATGCCAAATCCATCCATAAGCATGCTCAAAGCACTTTTAAGAGCAATATGCATGTCAATTCAGTCAACATAAGATTGTTTGAACAAGTGAGTTTTTAATTGGAATTCGAAATTTTTAAGAGTTTTGCTGTCACAAACATTTTCAGGTAAATTGTTCCACAGTTTTGGTGCAGTAGTACTAAAGCTTCCATCTCCGAACTGTTTTAATTTTGAAGATGGAATGCACAAAATGTTTTGATACTGGGATCTCAAAGTGTGAGTTGACTGGTATACAGTTAGTAGGTCTGAAAGATACGAGGGTGCTGTCTGTACCCTGTTGACACTGGTACGTCAAACATAGGATCTTGAAGTCTATAATATAGAACAAACTGTACATAGATACAACACAATCTCAACATAAAATAGAACAAAGAGTACATAGATACAACACAATCTCAACATGATGAAGAACAAAAAGTACAATCTGAACATAATATAGAACAAACTGTACATAGATACAACACAATCTCAACATGATGAAGAACAAAAAGTACAATCTCAACATAATATAGAAAAAACTGTACATAGATACAACACAATCTCAACATAACATAGAACAAACACTACATAATACAACACAGACCAGTTGACCAGACCAATTGACCAGACCAGTTGACCACAGACCAGTTGACCAGACCAGTTGAACCTCATTTTATTTCCTTAGTTCGAATCCCAGAATGGGCTGAAAGAGACTTGTCAGGAAAGTGTAGAATAGACAGCAGGATGGACCTGAAAGTTGGATTTGAATTTGACAATGTCCTGGTAAAATTTACTTCAATATTACATACATTACCTTTACTGCTTTAGAATAAAATCCTTGCTAACCTGGAAATGAAGGAAAAGAAATGTTATGTTGACAAGATACCAAATTCCATTGCTTTTTTTTTTTAAAGAATATTTATTCAATATTTACATATTATAAAGATACAATATTTAATTATTGGATCTAGAAACAAGCCGGAGCTTATATAAATTCTATTTCCCGTAATAAATTATTTACAAACATATAGATACATTGATCTTTTAGAGGCATTCAGTAACTGGATAGAGCAATAAACTATAACACATACTTATGGAAGAACAATTACTGATTTATTTGGGCGACGTTTCGAAGAGTATACTTGGTTGAAAACGATGAGAGAATACTCTTCAAAACGTCGCCCAAATAAATCAGTAATTGTTCTTCCATAAGTATGTGTTATAGTTTATTGATATAGATACATTGTTTATAATTATAATCAAGAATTACATACAGTTATAAATTACAAACATATAGATACATTGTTTATAATTATAATCAAGAATTACATACAGTTATAAATTACAAACATATAGATACATTGTTTATAATTATAATCACGAATTACATACAGTTATAAATTACAAAAGCAAAACATCTTTATTCTCACTTGATGAAAACGTACAAAATACTTAATATATAGAGGTTAATGTGGTTAGGGACACGGTTATCTTATGTTGATAGTGTGATGTGAACCTCCAGCTGTGGATAGTAGAAAGAGAAAGTCAATATCAAACTCCATTCCTATCAGATTTCACAAGGAAATGTAAGTGGCACGGTTCCCTTTATCCTACCCTTTGTGAACCTGGTATTATTCTCTGGGACCCAGGTTGCAGAGGATCAGGGGGTCCATTGACCTTGATTGAATAAAAAAGTATTTGACATGCATATTTTTTAGATAAATAAGATTTATCTTCGCATCCATCGAAAATTTTAGTGTCCAAAATCTGAGGAGAAATATGATCTATGAGTGAAGTGTGTAAAAGTTGAATCAAGCTAGTTTCATTTCCTTGTCATGTCACATTGTTTACTGTGATGGACAACAGTTTGTCCGAGGGTCCAGAGCTACATGGACATGTACCGTGTCCGCCCTTGCCTGGTTCAAAGTTGTCAAGACAAATTAGAGGACTGGGGACACTCTTTCATAATGTTCCTATTGGATAAAAGTTATAAGAAACAGGTTGGTATGAGAGGCACAGAGCTACGTGTCCCGAGGGCACGGAGAGGAATGAGGGGGCTGGTGATGAAAGATATATAATGATTAACTGATACAAGTAGAAAGTAAAAGTAGGTTATTATTGTTGATAGTTATTTATCAGGTTAGTCACATGTTACTAAAGGTGAAGGTCACTAGTGTCTGTCTTGTGTGTTGTGATAGTTAAGTGTTCAATGGTTTCTCATCATTTGACATACTGTAGACCAGTCTGACATCTTTAATGTCAGCCACTTGGTCTGATGTCACTTCTTGTCAGCGACAGGTACATGTATCTAGATCATTTCACAGTATTTGTGACAATAGTGTCTTATCAGGATGAAAAAATAAATTGACTTGCAATTCTAAGTATGAATAGTTCAATATTTTGGTCATAAAAATTTGAACTTTTTTCGCTTCAGCAGCTGTTATAAATACACTTTTGAGAAGCTTTTTAACTATGGGTCACTGTATGGTCACTTTATGGTTACGGACACTACAATGTGAAAAGTGAAAAAAATCAACTTCAAATTCAAATGAATAAAAAATATGTTAGATTTTAAAATTGCACATTTCAAAAGTAATATATTACTACTGAAGATCACATTGATATTGTAAGTTTTCAGAGTTTCATGCATACATGTATGTACACTGTGATTCTGAAAATTTGACAGAAACACTGGTTTTGAAATTTAGTCATAACTCCCTTAATACACTGTCTATTTGTATAATTCAACTACCAAAATTTATTATTAGAAGGCATTTTCAAAACAGTCACAGAAATTACATTAATTGAGTTTTAAAATATATTTTATTGAAGTGATACAGCATAACACATGAAAATGGCTGTTTTTGGGACATATTTATTGCCGTAACTCAACAACAAAGATATATATTGAGTTGAAATTTGATAGTCATTAGGAGAGGTCATTATTACAAATGTTGAATATAAGAAATTGACTGTAAATTCTAGTAGTTGTTTCCAAACTGGGGGGTTGGATGGCCGAATGGTTAGCACGTGGCCGCTGTATCATTAGGTCTGTCATTGAGTCAACTGACATCGTTTCGATTCCCTGGTTGTATGTGACAAGGAGTAGAGTTGCCTGTCCAACCTTGTGGCATTTCTCTGGTTTCCTCCCACTGCTAAAGACCCCTACGCACAAGCGAATAAGTGAAATAAAATTAAACCATATTTTAGGCCCGAAATGACCTAGTTTGTGTCGAGTGGCCAATTATAAAATTGAAAACAGAACAAATACTGTGTTTAGACAATATAAATAACTTAGTTTATATTCTTCTATATGTGTTATTGAGGAGCCACGGTGTCTAGGTGGTAAAGACGTTGGCTCCTAGCCTGGAGGTCGGGTGTTCGATCCCTGCATTGGCCGAGATACTTCATCCAGATTTTCCGAAGTGGTTTCCCCTTGTCAGTGGTGATGAACGGAGGGCCTGACAAAGACAGCTGTCTAGTCCTTCGGATGAGACGAAAAAACCGAGTCCCGTGTATATATTGGAATGCACGTAAAAGATCCCCTGGCAGTTGGAATTCGATATAAGAGTAGGCGATAGTGCCACTGCCCGGGCAAAATTTCCCTCATAGCACACTGTATGGCGTATGCCCGTCTTCATTAGCCCAGTATAGGAGCAGAACAGTAGAACGTTAAACCCCATTTCATTTCGTGTGTTATTGAAATAGAAGAATCTGCATTTAATTTTATAGTCAACTGGCGTGGTACCGATTCCCGGGTTGTACGTGACAAGGCCAAGGCGTAGGGTTGCCTGTCCAATCTTGTGAGTTTTCTCCGGGTCCTCAGGTTTCCTCCCACTGCTAAAGACCCCTACACGCAAGTGAATTATGGAAATAAAATTGAACCATGTGTTAGTCCCAAAATGACCTAGCTTGTGTCCAGTGGAGTTATCTCTCTCTCCTCTCTCTCTCTCTCTCTCTCTCTCTCTCTCTCGTTTAGTTTTATGATTGAACAATTGACATATTAATACATGTATGTGTAACAGATATATAGGTTTCTCACCATAATTTATTTATTTCAAAGAATATTATGCCCAAGGCTCATTACATTTAAATAAAACTCATGCAAGTTTTCAAATCATTCAGTACAATTTCTCTCTTCAATTTATCATACACATCTGGTACTCTATTTTAAATTTCCTTTAGTCAGTCGCTTGTATTTTATAGTTTTATATAATATGAAAGCCATGATGGCTCGGTGTCAGTCACTGGTATTTTATAGTTTTATACAATATGAAAGCCATGATGGCTCGGTGAATAAGGTGCTGACTTGGCAGGAGGTTCAGTGTTTGCTAAGAATAATACCCAGTATTTTCTGACTTAGTTTTTCCTTGTCAGGATCGTGTCTAGTCATAATGATGGTATGAAAATCCAAGGTCCCATTAGCACGTTGGCTGTGCACTTTATGGTGCACTGCACATGTACATGTATGCCTGTCTTGTTAAGTCGATTTCAACAAGGACGTGATTCCTCCTTGTCAGTGAGGGCCTGACAAGGACAACTGTCTAGTCGTTTGGATGGGATGAAAAACCGATGTCCTGTGTACACATTGGCGTGTTGCAGTTGCAGTCCCAAAAATCTGCCATTTGCTGGAACAAGAGCTGTTGAATAAGTTTGTGGAAGAGAACCTGTGATTGTATGCCAGAATGTAAACATCTTCATGCATTCTCTTAATGGCCGAATGGTTAGCGTGTGCTCGCTGTCATAAGGTCTGTCATTGAGTCAACTGCTATGGTTTTGATTCCCCGGTTGTACGTGACAATGAGTTGGGTCGTCTGTCCAACCTCGTGGGTTTTCTCCGGGTCCCCAAGTTTCCTCCCACTGCTAAAGACCCCTATGTGCAAGCGAATTTTTGAAATAAAATTGAACCATGTGTTAGTCCCAAAATGACCTAGTTTGTGTCGAGTGGATGTTAAACTCTCTCTCTCTCTTGCATTATCTTCACGCGAGAAAAACACGCCAGCGAAACGCTAACATAGAAATAGTCCCATTACTTTTGCATTATATCGACCTTTCTGCGAGTGGGAAAAGTGCGCGTTAATCTGTGTCAGCCAATGTCTTTGACAGTTGCCTTATTTCCAAACGTAGTTTATCTGTGCTTTGAGAAATGGAAGCCCAGTTTTTACTCGTCATCATTAGCCCAGTCGAAGCAGAACAGTAGGACGTTAAACCCCATCTCATTTCTCAAGTTCTTTAGAGTTGACAGTTCAAAAATAGATAATGAAAACAAAATATGCTGAAAATTTCAGTCAAATTGCTTCACTCTGAACCAAGATATTAAATCACTAATATCATTGGCTTGCGTTGAGTAAATCCAATACCATCTTCAATAGAAGGCTTGATCTCGCTTTAACTACGCACATCTTATCAAGGCCTTCATGTAATACCCTGCATATTTCGGCACTAATTTCGATTGGGTACAAGCCCAACTTGTGAGCCTATCAGATTCCTCGATCGTCGCGAATACCAAGTCTCGCACTAAAATATCTACCTGTGATAATCAAGTTGCAAAGTTCAAGGTTCATTCAATGTCAAGGTTTCCGTGGAGGTCGTGATGTTACACATCTGACTGGCACTACTGCTCACGTGTCTGTAGATAACATAGCTATAAGTTCGGGAATTGTGAAGTAAACAAGCAATGGCCAGATGTTGTAAAACTCGCAGTCGTTGCTTCAGGAACATGATCCGATACATGTTCAGACTTCAGATCATCTGCCTGCAGTGATTGCCGAATGTTGACAATTTTTAATTCATCATAACTTTATAAATACTGAATGGAATTAAACTAAAATATTGCAGCTTGCAAGAGATTTAAATTCATTCAAATATCAACCATGTTCTTGAAGATGTTTTTGTGTATTTTTCAGGTTGATTCGTTCACATTAGATGAATCAGCTGACCTAGACGACGATCAAATCCTGGAACCATCACAATTTTTACTTCAAGCTGAAACGGGAGATCCTGAAGCCCTACAAGCCGTGGATCCGGAGACACATGCACGTTTAGAAGCACTATTAGAAGCTGCAGGTAAAGGAACCACATACAGATATATAATATTACTCGGTGACCACCATTTTTAGGGGGGTTGGATGGCCGAATGGTTAGCACATGCGCACTTTATCATAAGGCCTGTCATTGAGTCAACTGGCGTGGTTTCGAATCCCCGGTTGTACGTGACAAGGAGTAAGGTTGCCTTTCCAACCTCGTGGGTTTTCTCCGGGTCCTCTGGTTTCCTCCCACTGCTCAAGACCCAAAATCATCTAATTTGTACTTGTGTCCAGTTTAAAACTAACCATTCAATTTTGATGTGTCTAATTTACAAGCGTTTAATTTCTCGATCCCTGTTCAAAAATAAACAACCCAATTGATTAATGATGTATAATGATTTATTTTTAAACAGTGGACAGGAAATTAAATACTTGTAAATCAGTCACTCATTATCAAAATTAATAAGTCAATTTTAAACTGAACACAAGTACAAATTAGATGATTTTGGGTGGTTTTAAATGATTTTTAAACAAAGATTTGATATTGAATGATTGTGAAAGAAATTAGTGCTAAATACACAAGATTAAATGATACCCAGTTTACAGTGACTACATGAAGTTCTATCTACTCTTGATTAATAATTAAATATCGTTTTCCTGAGATGACATGACATGACATGCTGTTATTATTGGTAATTGTATCTAGGCAAATAATTTATTTAAAGATACATTATGAGAGATTAGATAAAGAACTGGCAGTTCTCGCTATAATACTTAAAAACTAGATAATGTAAAGAGAATTTGCTGAAAATTTCAGTCAGATTGATCCAATCTGAACCGAGAATTTAGCAATTGAATTTTAGGCTTGGCCTCAAACATCATTACTAAAGTTGATTTGATAAAAAAACATAGTCTCGATTATCCATTTCTTGATTTAATCATGAATAAATGTAGAGCAGCAGATCGGATCCTAATCCAGTAAATATCGCAGGCTAGGGTTGACATTGAGAGTTAATTATGGTCTGGATAAGTTAATTAATGTATAATTTATAGTTTAGATAACATTTCAGGCCTGGTTGTACGTGGCAAGGAGTAGGGTCGCCTGACCAACCTTGTGGGTTTTCTCCAGGTCCTCCGGTTTCCTCCCACTGCTAAAGACCCCTACGCGCAAGCGAATTATGTAAATAAAATTTTTTTAAAAAAACATATGTTAGTCCCGAAATGACCTAGTTTGTGTCGAGTGGACGTTTAACCCCATTTCTCTCTCTCTCTCTCTCTCCCATTTCAGGCCTAAAGAAAGACCTGCAATAGACAGATTTGGAATAGACTGATATCTGTACTGATTATGACTCATTACCAAGCCTGCTAAAAAAGAAGGGGGGGAGGCCGATGGCCGAATGGTTAGCATGTGCGCGCTGTATCATAAGGCCTGTCATTGAGTCAACTGGCGTGGTTTCGAATCCCTGATTGTATGTGACAGGGGTAGGGTCGCCTGTCCAACCTTGTGGGTTTTCTCCGGGTCCTCCGGTTTTCCTACGTACTGCTAAAGACCCATACGATCAAGCAAATTATTGAAATTAAACCGAAATGACCTAGTCCTCTCTCCCTCTCCCTCTCCCTCTCTCTCTCTCTCTCTCTCTCTCAAAATTTTAAGAAATATTTTTTTTGTTATTTAACAGGAATCAGCAAACTATCATCAAAAGACGGCAAAGCTTTAACTGATCCCGAGGTACTACGTACTTTGACTTCTTCGGTTAGCAGTGCTTTAGATGAAGCCGCTCAAGCATTACATCGTATGAGACAAGAACACCAAGGACAAATCTGTACCACTGCTGATGGGTAAGTATAGTTTATTATAGATGGTGGGACCAATCTGTACCACATCTGATGTAAGGTTGAGGATATAGGGACCAATCTGTAACACATCTGATGGGAGGTTGAGGATATAGGGACCAATCTGTAACACATCTTATGGGAGGTTGAGGATATAGGGACCAATCTGTACAGCTGTTGATGGGGGGTTGAGGATATAGGAACCAATCTGTACCACATCTGATGGGGGGTTGAGGATATAGGAACCAATCTGTACCACATCTGATGGGGGGTTGAGGATATAGGAACCAATCTGTACAGCTGCTGATGGGGGGTTGAGGATATAGGAACCAATCTGTACCACATCTGATGGGGGGTTGAGGATATAGGGACCAATCTGTACAGCTGCTGATGGGTAGGTAGAGTTCATTATAGATGGGGGGGGGGTGAGGATGTACCACTGCTGTAGGGACCAATCTGTATCACTGCTGATGGGTAGGTAGAGTTCATTATAGATGGGGGGGGGGGGGTTGAGGATGTACCACTGCTGTAGGGACCAATCTGTATCACTGCTGATGGGTAGGTACAGTTCATTATAGAGTTTACCATTGGTTGGTGAAGCAATCTGATTAAAACACAGATCTATATTTCGTTTAGTTTTTTTTTTTTTGATATACTTTCCATGGCATCTACTACATAAAGATCTGACTAATTGCAGTGGCAGGTCACTCCAGGGATCATACGAGCGACTTTTGACTCTATGACCTCAGACATTTGATTAACCAATCAGTGTTGAACAATAAAAAAACGGAACAAAATAGGATCTGCGTTTTAATCAGATTGTTGATGCAGTATCATTCATTTATCTTGAACTTTATTCAATCCTGGGGGGTCGGATGGCTGAATGGTTAGCGTGCGCGCGCTGTATCATAAAGTCTGTCATTGAGTCAACTGGCGTGGTTTCGAATCCCCGGTTGTACGTGACAAGGAGTAGGGTCGCCTGTCCAACCTCGTGGGTTTTCTCCGGGTCCTCCGGTTTCCTCCCACTGCTAAAGACCCCTACGCGCAAGCGAATTATTGAAATAAAATTAAACCATATGTAAGTCCCGAAATGACCTAGTTTGTGTCGAGTGGACGTTAAACCCCATTTCTCTCTCTCTCTCTTATTCAATCCTTTGACAATTCTTTAAAAAAAAGCCCAACCATTTGTTTATAGTTTGTAACTGAACTCAATGTAGCATATATAATTAGGATGTCTTATACTATTTATTATACAAGTTCATTACGGTCCGTATTTGGTTGTTGATTATCCATAACATAGAGATTGTCTATCCCTGTACCTTCCATGTCTAGGGCTCTTGATAATTTTTCACAGTTGATTAGCAGTGCTAATCAAAAAGTCCAATTTTGCCAAATTTGATTAGCAAATTTAAAAATTGATTAGCAGTTTTTCAGTTTCAACACAAAAACACCTAAATAACAAAATATTACTTTAATTCATAACAAATCATTAGTTTTCCTTCTTATATTTTTTTAGCACTGCTACAGAAATATTCAGGGCTTGATAAGATGTACGAAGTTAAAGCGAGATCAAACCTTCTATTGAAGATGATCCAAGGGTACAAGATGTTGATGATTGAGTCTTATTGATTGTTTTGTTTATTTCAGTACAAGAGCTATAACAGAGGCAGGAGAGAATGACGTTGGGGGAATCCGTAGTAAATTTGATGCTGTAGCTTTTCCTGAACCTATTGACGGTGAAGGAGAGGGTGAAAGTCTTCTCTCATTGGCCTGTTCTGCTGGATATTACGAATTAGCACAAGTTTTATTGGCCATGAAGGCGAATGTTGAAGATCGTGGTATCAAGGGGGACTGTACTCCGTTGATGGAAGCAGCCAGTGGTGGCCATGCTGATATTGTTCGTCTATTAATTGCACATAGTGCAGATGTTAACGCTCAGTCTTCAGCAGGTGGGTTTCAGTTTGTCTTCAATATGTCAAGGCAGAGGGAGGCAACTTAATTGGTTGACATCTTATTGAATTCATAAAAAAAAGGAAAATTTCTGTGGATGACTCATGGCACATGTGAAAACCAAGGTCCTGTGTACTGTTGTCTTAGTTACAGGTTGGGTGGGGGAAGCAATATAGTCTTCAGTCTTTTACTGAAGCTCAGTGAGTAAGGTGATGTCTCGCTAATCAGGAGCTCTGGGTTTTGATCTCTGTGTTGGCTGAGAAAGTTCCTTAGAATTATCCCTCCTGGTTTCACTCTGCCAATGATCTTTGACAGAGGCACTGATAAGCATCTACATGTTTTCATAAGCCTAGTTGCCAAAGAAAAGTGGGGCGTTAAACTTGTTTTCATTCCCGTAACTGTAGTGTCTGAGCTTCGATGGCCGAGATTTTCTTGCACTATTCCTCCTTGTCAGTGGTGCAGTACCAAGTCCTGGGTCCTGACAAGGGACAACCTATAGGTATTCGGATGGAACGAAAAACCGAGGTTGCATGTACGTTAAAGATCCCTTGGCATTTGAGATAAGAGTGGGCCGTAGCGCCACTGTCTGCTCAAAATTTCCCTCATAGCACATTGTATGGCATATGCCTGTCTTCATTAGCCCAGTCGTAACAGAACAGTAGGATGTTAAACCTCATTTCATTTCATTTATAATCTTCAACGATCAGGGCCTTGTTTCTCAAAATCTTAACTAAAGATAAATCCAAATTTTAGTAGATACTCCAATTTTGATTGGCTAAAATCTATCTATTATTATCCAATCAAATTACTAAAATTTGGATTTTATCTCAGTTAAAATTTCGTGAAACAGGCTCCAGTTTGTGTGAATTGATATTAAACATCATGTCTGGTTGAACAGGATACATTGTAACTCATGTTATTTATTTTTTTGTTATCCAGGTAACACACCTCTGCATTACGCAGCATGTGGTGGGTATGTAGAGGTTGTAAAGGAGTTAATTAAGGCCTACTCCAATGTGGAGGTACACAATGAAAATGGTCATACACCTTTAATGGAAGCAGCTAGTGCCGGACATGTAGAAGTAGCTAAAACTCTGTTACTAGCTGGAGCTGGTATAAATACACATTCTAATGAATTTAAAGAAAGTGCTCTGACTCTTGCTTGTTATAAAGGTAAGTAGCATTAACATGAATATTCATGACCTTTGTATATATGAATAATAATGAGTTCTAAGCAGGCTTCAGTAACTCGGGGGGATGGGGCTTGGATGGTCGAATGGTTAGCACATGCGCACTGTATCATAAGGTCTGACATTGAGTCAACTGGCGTGGTTTCCATTCCCCAGTTGTATGTGACAAAGAGTAGGGTCGCCTGTCCAACCTCATGGGTTTTCTCGCTGTAACAGACTGATTCATTGGCTAATCCCTCACATCATCCTGAATGCGGGTTATATAACAACTCTTCCAAAATCAAGTCATGGTGTATTTGAGAGGCAATTACACTGGTAAGATATTTTTTATTATTTACAGAACATTTGGACATGGTAAAATATTTATTATTATTATTTACAGGTCATTTGGACATGGTAAAATATTTATTAGAAGCTGGTGCCGATCGTGAACATAAAACAGATGAAATGCACACGGCACTGATGGAAGCATCAATGGACGGACATGTTGAAGTTGCTCGTCTACTTTTAGATAATGGAGCACAGGTGAAGTTCTTACATTTCATTTGTCAATTATAAGCCCGTTAACCTAGCACTGTTACCCGGGTATCATTTAATCTTGTGTATCTAGCATTAATTTCATTAACATTTGTTTAATATCAAACCTTTGTTTAAACATTCATAAAAATCACCCCAAATCACCTAAATTGTACTTGTGTCCACTTTAAAGCCGACTGATTAATTTTGATGAGTGTCCAATTAGTGAAAGATATTAGTGCTAAATACACAAGATTAAATAATACCTGGATTACAGTGTAGATTACCCCAGGATTTATCAGAGTTATTTCCCCTGGTCAAGGAACCGTGTCTAGTCATTCTAATGGGACAAAAAACCCGAGTTACCATGGAAACATAATCATGCACGTAAGAGAAACCTTGACAGATGGAGGGGATCACATGGCTAAGTGGGTAAGATGCTGGCTCACTAGCCTGGAGGTCGGGTGTCGATTCCTGCATTGGCCGCGAAAGTCCATCCAGATTTTCCGACGTGGTTTCCCCTTGTCAGTGATGCAGGACGGAGGGCCTGACAAGGACAGCTGTCTAGTCATCCAGATGGGACGAAAAACCGAGGTCCTGTGTACAAATTGGCATGCACATAAAAGATCCCTTGGTAGTTGGAATTCGATATAAGAGTAGGCCGTAGCGCCACTGCCCGGGCAAAATTTCCCACATAGCACACTGTATGGCGTATGCCCGTTTTCATTAGCCCAGTTTAGGAGCAGAACAGTAGGACATTAAACCCCAATTCATTTCATTTCATTTCTTGACAGATGGAATTTGAAATAAGAGTAGGTCGTAGGCTAACAGGCGATATTTTAACATTTTGAAACAAAATTTGTCGTACCGATGATGTACCCAATATAAGCTTTTGTGAGTAGAGCAACAAATTATATTTTAAACCTGTTTTATTTCATTTTATTTACTTTCTTACAGGTTAATATGCCAGCTGATAGTTTTGAGTCCCCATTAACTCTTGCTGCTTGTGGCGGCCATGTTGAATTAGCGTGTTTGTTGTTAGAGCGTGGGGCGAATATTGAGGAGGTAAATGACGAGGGTTATACGCCCCTGATGGAAGCAGCCCGGGAGGGACATGAAGATATGGTTGCTTTATTGTTAGCTCACGGTAGGTGTCTTTTATTCATATATTGATTCATTTTGTGATGGCCAAGAAAATTCCTTGTGGATTGGTATCCGACAATTAGGGCCTGAGCAGCAGGGGGCACCACGTTTCCACAGTGACTAAGATGCATCCTCACAACCCAGGAGGTCCTCATGTTCAGTTCTGGTGTTAGCTGAAAAAATTCCTCTGGATTTTCAAGTCTGTAAAATTGGTTAAGTCAGGGGTCAGTTTGTCCGATACGCCGTTGCATGTTGAAACGTTGCTTTAACGCTCTGCTTTCTTTCAGTTATATCTGGCCCACTATGAAAAAAGTTTGATGACCCCTGTGTGTGATATTAACGCTCAGATGGAAGAAACCCATTAAACAGCCTTGACCTTGACGTATGGTGGAGGACTTTTAGAAGTAGCAGATTTTATAATTTGGTTAAATTGTAAATTTAGTTTAATTAATTGTTTTATGTGAAATGACCGTCTGTATGTGATGTATTTAAGATGCCGATATTAACGCCCAGACGGAAGAAACCCAGGAAACAGCCTTGACCTTGGCGTGTTGTGGAGGATTTTTAGAAGTAGCAGATTTTATAATAAAAGCTGGAGCTGATATAGAATTAGGTTGTAGTACACCATTAATGGAGGCATCACAAGAAGGGCATCTTGAACTTGTTAAATATCTTCTTAAGTGCTGTAAGTTGATTTGGATATAAAAATAAACACAACAGTCGTATAGAAAAATATCACTGTGTTTTAGTCGGAGCTAATTTCTCTGGGGGTTGGGTTGCCGATTGGTTAGCGTCTGCGCGCTGTATCATAAGGTCTGTCATTGAGTCAACTGGTGTGGTTTTGATTCTTCGGTTGTACGTGACAAGGAGTATGGTCGCCTGTCCAACCTCGTGGGTGTTCTTCGCGTCATCTGTTTACCTCCCACTACTAAAGTCCAACCTCGTGGGTTTTCTCCGGGGCCTCCAGTTTCCTCCTACTGCTAAAGACCCCTACGCGCAAGCGAATTATGTAAATAAAATTAAACCATATGTTAGTCCCGAAATGACCTAGTTTGTGTCGAGTGGACGTTAAACCCCATTTCTCTCTCTCCCACTACTAAAAACATCTAAGTCCAGGCAAATTGTTGAAATAAAATTGAACCATGTATTAGTCCCAAAATGACCTAGTTTATGTCTAATGGATCTTATACCTGATCCGTCTCCCTCTCTCTCTCTCATGGAACTGAACCGCAAAAAGAATGTCCCAGCTCGAATCCTTGATTAGGCCAATATAACCTCCAATATCTTACTGTGGTAATGTATGCTGGTCAGACTGGATGTCAAGTCTTTTGGATAAGACGATAAATAGGTTTGAACAAAAATTGGAAACCCCATCTCAAAATGGCCGATATATGGTGTTGCCATGACAGTAAAATTATTGATAAAGACCCTGTGTTTTATTAGGTAATTTATTGATAAAGACCCTGTGTTTTTATTAGGTAATTTATTGATAAAGACCCTGTGTTTTTATTAGGTAGTTTATTATAACTGTTATATTCTATTTAGTAGCTAATGTCCACGCACAGACGGGAACTGGTGATACAGCCTTGACCTATGCCTGTGAGAATGGCCATACAGACGTAGCTGAAGTTTTGCTCGACGCCGATGCTGAACTTGTAAGATATTATTTTACTTTAATCAAATGTAGTATATCGGTTGAGTGAGCTAAATAATCTTTGCCGATCTAATGAAGTGGGGCATATGCCATACAAAGTGCTATGAGGGAAATATGGCATACAATATGCTATGAAGGGCATATGGCATACAATATGCTATGAAGGGCATATGGCGTACAATATGCTATGTGGGGGAAAATGGCATACAATGTGTTATGAGGGGTATATGGCATAAAATGTGTTATGAGGGGTATATGGCATAAAATGTGCTATGAGGGAAGAAATTTGCCATACAATATGCTATGAGGGAAATTTGCCATACAATGTGTTATGAGGGGCATTTTGCATACAACGTGCTATGAGGGAAAATTTGCCCGAGCAGCAATTGAATTCCAGCTGTCAAGGGTTCTAAGCATTGTCCCATGCCAAGCCGTTGGTACTGTCGAGCTGAAACCAAGCCAGAATATCCTGCAGAATTTTCTAAGCCAATGCTGGGATCGAATGACATTACTTAATGAGCCATTGCAATTCACAAGAATAAAGACCTTGTGTAATACACCGGAAATAATTAGAAATTTGAAAATACTTTCGAAGTGTTTGAATTATTTTTTGGAGTAAAGAATTTTAAATATGGTTGACTGATTTGAAAAAGGGTGAGTAAGTGACGAAAAGTAAGCAAGACTTAAAACCCTATTTCATTTAAAATTCTTGATTAGTTTTCATTGTAAAATGGTTAAAAGGGAGATTACTCTTTTTTACTTGTAGTTTAAATATGTTGACATTTGTTTTATTGTACAGGAACACGAGTCTGAGGGAGGAAGAACGCCATTGATGAAAGCTGCCAGAGCTGGCCATTTAGCAACAGTACAATTTCTTATCTCAAAAGGTAATACTTTTATATCCATTATCAGGATTCCCTGGAAGAAAGTCGGTTGGAGCTGACGTGCCCTACAAACCTATTTCTTTATTTCTAATTTAACACCTCCGATTTTCACAGTTTGACATAAACAATTAACTGAACACAACAGATACGAACTGTCTCTGGTTATTTTGTGATAGGGGGGTGTTGGATGGCTGAATGGTTAGCACATGCGCGCTGTATCATAAAGTCTGTCATTGAGTCAACTGGCGTGGTTTCGATTCCCCATTTGTACGTGACAAGGAGTAGGGTTGCCTGTCCAACCTCGTGGGTTTTCTCCGGGTACTCTGGTTTCCTCTCACTGCTAAAGACCCCTACGCTCAAGCCAATTATGGAAATAAAATTGAACCATTAATAGTCCCGAAATGACCTAGTTTGTGTCGAGTGGACGTTAAACCCTCCCCCCCCCTCTCTCTCTCTCTTTTGATGATAACAATTTGGTTGTTTTCTGTGCTAAATGATGATTTTTTTGTTTTCTAGGTGCAGACTTGAACCGTGCCACGTCGACCAATGATCACACAGTGCTATCTTTAGCATGTGCGGGAGGTCACATGACTGTCGTGGAACTGTTATTAGGTCAAGTAGCCGATCCTAATCATAGACTAAAGGTATGTCAACACTTGAATCAGTCATAAAACATTTCAATAGACTAATCATTGACTAAAGATATGTCGACACATGAATCAGTCCTAAAACATCATTTAACAATTGTAATTCATGAAGATTTGCTGAAAACACTGATTTACAAGCAAAATACCTCTCATAGAACACTGCGTGGTGAAGGCCCGTCTTTATTAACCCAGAATGGGATGAAATGAAATGAAATGCAGTTTACGGTCCTACTGTTCTGCTCTGAACTCGGCTAACGAAGATGACCATATGCCATACAGTGTGCTATGAGGGAAATTTTGCCCGGACAGCGGCACTACGACCTACTCTTATATCGAATTCCAATTGTCGAAGGATCTTTTACGTACACGCCAATGTGTACACGAGACCAAATGGTTAGCGCATGCAGGTTGCATATTAAGGTTTGTCATTGAGTCAACTGGCGTGGTTTAAATTCCCCGGTTGTAGGGTCGCCTGTCCAACCTCGTGGGTTTTCTCCAGGCCCTCTGGTTTCCTCCCACTGCTAAAGACCCCAACGCGCAAGCTGATTATTGAAATACAATTGAACCATGTGTTAGTCCCGAAATGACCTAGTTTGTGATGTTAAAACGCTGAGTTTCATTTATTTCTGGGTTTTAATAAAAGATAATTAAAGACCACCAGTATTTATTTATTTTCAAGACAGAAGATAATTTATTTGTTTTATTTTCAGGATGGATCAACCATGATTATAGAAGCAGCTAAAGGAGGCCATACGAATGTTGTAAAATTATTATTAGAATGGCCAAATCGACAATTATCTAATCTATCTCCTGATTCAACACAGTTAAATGCTATAGACCTAACGACAGAAGAGGTAAGTATATACTATAACAGGGAATTGTATGGCTGAATGATTAGCGTGTGTGCGTGCTGTTTCGTAAGGTCTGTCATTGAGTCAACTGGCGCGGTTTCGATTCCCAGGTATGTGATGAGGATTAGGGTCGCCTGTCCAACCCCAGGGATTTTCTCCATGTCCTATGGTTTCCTCCCACTGCTAAAGACCCCTACAGGCAAGTGAATTATTGAAATAAATTTTAACCATATGTTAGTCCTGAAATGACCTAGTTTGTGTCGCGTGGACGTTAAACCCATTTCTCTCTCTAAATACACAAGATTAAATAATATCTGGGTTACATTTTTAACACCCTTCAGTATTTCTTCAACTCCTCCAACTGACCCCTGTTGATTTAATCTATTGTTTAACACCCCTCAGTATTTCTCCATACTCCTTCAACTGACCCCCACTGATTTAATCTAATTAATGAGTTGATTTTCAGGTGTTGTTTGTTGTCTATCGTGTATCTAGAGTAATATGATGTAATGTATGTTATATTTGTTAGCCCCGAGTACCATTACCCGGTCTGGTGAATATCGTACCTCCAAGTGAACCAGATCCACAGAGTCTCAACCCAGCCAATTATACACCAAATATACAGGGTAAGTTGCTTGAATCAAGCCTGACAAAGACAGCTGTCCAGTCCTTCGGATGAGACGAAAAACAGAGGTCCCACGATACATTGGAATGCATGTAAAAGATCCCTTGGCATTTGGAATTCGATATAAGAGTAGGCGATAGTGCCGCTGCCCGGGCAAAATTTCCCTCATAGCACACTGTATGGCGTATGCCCGTCTTCATTAGCCCAGTATAGGAGCAGAACAGTAGGACGTTAAACCCCATTTCATTTCATTTCATTTCTGCTTAAATCAGTCGGATTGAAATACAGATCTATATTTCGTTTTTATAATGTCGACGGCCTACACTACATAAAGATCTGAACAGTTGTAGCGAAAGGTCATGTCAGGGGTCTTGAGAGATGCTGTTGACCCTATGACGTCAGACCTTGATAAATCAATCAGTGTTTACCCACAGTTCAATGCACCTCACACCAAAAACTCCCTGCAACAGTCTGTTTTATTGGCTACTCCCTCACTTCAGCCAAAACACTGGTAATATAACAACTCTTCCCGATCGTAGTGTAGTAAAGACAAGTAAAACAAAATTTTGAACTATAATCAGATTGTGCTTAAACAAGTACATGACAGGGCCATGGTGGCTAAGTGAGTCAGATACTCCCAGGTTCAATCCCCATGATGCCCGAGAAAGTGGTAAAGTGCTGTTCATCTTGATCTGTCTGAAACAGATTTGTGTATTTTTAAAGTTTATGATGTCAGATTCTAGTTCAATAAAATCAGTATGTCCTTGTCTAATTTTCACTTCCAACTAAAGTTTTTTTTTATATCAATGCCTGATTGACAGGTCCAACTCCAGGCTTTATTGTCCTATTACTTGACTGGAATCTCTTAAAATGTCAACATAAAACTATGCAGAATAGGCACTACCCAGGCAAAATTCCCTCTGTGCACATAGCATAACTAATTAAACATACTCATCTCAAAATATTAGTATTAATTGTAATATTTTCTAATAACAAGTTTTATTATTATTTACAGCCAAAACTGTGGATCAGCTACGAACCAACTTGCAGAAATGTGTCGCTAAGCGAAGTCTCAATCCACAACCAGACAACAAAGTGATAAAACAAATAAATAATCCCGCTCAAATAGGGGAAATAACTCCTGTTACTGTCAATCCTGATAAAAAGGGCACCGAGCAATATCCAAACGAAAAAGCCACGGAAAAAGTGGAAGCAATTATTAATACCATTATGGCCAAAGAGTTAAATTCTGTTCCTGCTGCGTCAAAGGAGGAACAGATACAACGAAAGCAGCAAATTTTAGCCGAGTTACAGAAAGTTGAACGAGAACTGCACGAGAAAGCGCAACAACAGAGAGAACAACAACAGCATCGCGATCAGCAACAGCAACAACAAGTTATAGCCAGGATTCGTCAGGCGGCCAACGTGACAGCGGGTGTCCCTGATTCTTCTACTCTCCTCACACCAACTTCTACCGATATCAACACTCTAGGGGTTCAAACAGACCTCCCTTTCTCCGATTTGATGTTACAAAATCCCAAATTACCCAAATCTCTTCCCGAGCTACCTGTCGTTAGTCAGCCTGTGATGTCATACGGTGATACGTACGTTCCACAACCTATATTTACAGCCAATAGTAACGCTAATTCTAATATAACGGATACAAGGGCACCTGCTGCGGGGAAGAATGCCCAGACTAAGAGGAATGGTAACGTGAAAGCCCGTAGTAAGAGTATTATAGGTGTTATACAACCACCCGTCACTCCCCCCATAGCTGATCAAAATGGTGGTAAGTATTCATTTCATTCAAACATAGGGGGGTTGAATTTTCATTCAAAAATAGGATGGTTGAATGAGTTAAGGGGGCATGGATTGCCGAATGGTTAGCACATGCGCACTGTATCATAAGGTCTGTCATTGAGTCAACTGGCGTGGTTTCGATTCCCCGGTTGTACGTGACAAGGAGTAGAGTCACCTGTCCAATCTCGTGGTTTATCTCCAGGTCCTCCGGTTTCCTCCCAGTGCTAAAGACCCCTACGCGCAAGCGAATTAATTGAAATAAAAATTGCACCTTGTGAACGTTTTAACGACAAAAGTTATCATCCAATCTGTATGAAATTTATTTGCCTTAATTAAATTAGTGAAACAAAGGCGCCTACTGAATTTCAGCAATTTCTGTTAATTATGCCTAGAGTCATGACCTTTGTTTAACTTTGTGAAAAGTCATCATCCGATATATATGAAATTTATATGCATCATTTAGATTAGTGAAACGAATAAGCCTATTGAATTTCAGCAAATTCTGTTCATTACGTGTAGAGTTATGGCCCTAGTTTCACTTTGCTGCACCTTGTGAACGCTTAAACGAGAAAAGTTATCATATGACCTGTATGAAATTTATATGCATCTTTTAGATTTATGAAATAAAGAAGTCTATTGAATTTCAGCAATTTCCGTCAATTACTTCTAGAGTTTTACTTTGTTCAACCCTGTAAACGCTTGTATGACAAGTGTTATCTGATCTGTATAAAATTTATTGGCATTATTTAAATTAGTAAAACAAAATTTCAACAATTTCTGTAAGTTACTTCCATAGTTAAGGCCCTTGTATCAGTTTGTAGAACTTTGTCAACCCCCAAACAACAAAATTTATAATCAGATCTGTATGAAATTGTCTTGTGAATGCCCCCCCCCCCCCATTACCCACAAAAGAATAAATATGCAACAACCCTTGCCAACTGTTTTGACAATTTAGCTGCTGTGGGCGTATGTTTCTTTGCCTGGCAACATATCTTTTTTATTTACTTTCAGTTACCTCGTCAACCGATCCTCCTACCTTGGTGAATCCACCGTGTGTCAGTCAACAACAACTGTCAACAACAACAACAATAGGGACTGTTGGGGTCGTCGATCAAGTTCGTCAACAACCCCTTCAAGTTCAAAATCCTCAAAACCTTCAATTCCCTCAATTTCAACTGACCCCTCAACAACAGGGTCAACTTCTACAACATATGTTAAACAACGGACTACAATCGCAAAATTTCTCTCCAGCGCTACCACAACAAGCCCTTCAATTATTACCACAGGCCCCCCTTCCCCAATCTCCTCTCGTCACCTCCCAAGCTCTCTCCCAGGTACAACTTGCGCAAGCTCAGGCCTCCCTTGGTCACCAGAATCAGCTAGTCCAAAATACGGCAATCAGTCAATCGTTACAGTTGTCAGGGCAACCGACGAACATCCTTAACCAGACGATGTTAGTACAACAAGCGAGTACGTTACAGTTAGCTCAGCAGTCTTTACAGACGGTTGCGCCTACGCCCGTTTCCCAACAGTTCTTCACCCAGCAACAACAGCAGCAATTCCTTCATCAACAACAAGCTCTGCAACAGTTGCAGCAACAACAACCGCAACAAATCCAGCCGCAACAAATCCAGTTACAACAAGTTCACCAACAACTAGAACAGATGAAACAACAACAACAACAACCGCAACATCCACAACAACCCCAACAACCAGTAAACAACAAGCAGATCTATCGTAAACAGCAACTCCTCGTCCAACAGAATCAGAATGGACAAACCCTAGTTCAACAATCCTCGTCTATCCTGGGTGTCGAGGCTATAACCCCTCCTCCTTCAACCCCTCTTACTCCAACTCCCTCCCCTGCATCTCCCCACAGTCTACCCCCATCATCGTTGATAGACGTGGATGCACACACAGAGAGTAATCATGATACAGCCTTGACCTTGGCTTGTGCTGGAGGTCACGCGGAACTGGTGACTCTTCTGTTAGCCAAGAATGCAACCCTTGAACATCGTGATAAGAAAGGTAAGATCAATACTGTTGTTCTATTCTGGTAAAATTTGAAGAGTCCATGGGAGAAATGATCTAAGACACATTTTTGTTTTTTCACATAAAAGGCAAAAAAGACTTTTGGACGAGAATACTTGACACGAACAGAACAACGAGTGGATTTAATTACAACTTCAAAATAATGTTTAATACGAATCATAATTACCAGTACAACTGACTTCCACTTTTCAGCCAAATTAAGGCCAAATAAAGGGTACGATGAAAGTATATGTCCGGGATACCATTTCAGAAGGGCCTTGGTTCGATGTGACTCCGATTGTTCAACAGAAAGCTTATATAATTTGCTACCAGATGGCGCCATTAACTGGGGTTCGTTGAAAAAGTGACTTCGATCGTTCTTCCCCAGGGCTCTTCACTTGTTATTCTTGTAGATTGTCATTATATTCCAGAGGGGTTGGATGTCCGAATGGTTAGTGTTTTCGCGCTGCCGCTGTATCATAAGGTCTGTGATTGAATCCACTGGCGTGGTTTCGATTCCCCGGTTATACGTGAAAAGGAGTAGGGTCACCTGTCCAACCTCGTAGGTTTTCTCTGGGTCCTCCGGTTTCCTCCCACTGCTAAAGGCCCCTAAGCGCAAGCAAATTATTGAAATAAAATTGAACTATGTTAGTCCCGAAATGACCTAGTCTGTGTCAAGTGGATGTTAAACCCCATTTCTCCCTGTCTCGCATTTCATTTCTAATCATTCGGATCAAATGAAAAACCGAGGTACAATGTATACTTTTTTAAAAATAGTTGGAACTATAAATAAAAAGTAGGCACCAACATAACACACTTCATTTCCCTAAGAGAAGGTACCTTATAGCACACAGTGATCACGGTGGCTAAGTGGGTAAGATGTTGGCTCGCTAGCCTGGAGGTCGGGTGTTCGATCGCTGTATTGGCCGAGAAAGTTCATCCAGATTTTCCGGCGTGGTTTCCCCTTGTCAGTGATGCAGGATGGAGGGCCTGTCTAGTCGTACACATTGGCGTGCACGTAAAAGATCCCTTGGAAATTGGAATTTGATATAAGAGTAGGCCGTAGCGCCGCTGCCCGGGCAAAATTTCCCTCATAGCAGACTGTATGGCGTATGCCCGTCTTCATTAGCCCAGGTTAGGAGCAGAACAGTAGGACGTTAAACCCTATTTTATTTCATTTCCTATAGCACACTTCATTTCCCTAAGAGTAGGCACCCTCATAGCACACTTCATTTCCCTAAGAGTAGGCACCCTCATAGCACACTTCATTTCACTAAGAGTAGACACCCTCATAGCACAGTTCATTTCACTAAGAGTAGGCACTCTCATAGCACACTTCATTTCACTAAGAGTAGGCACCCTCATAGCACACTTCATTTCACTAAGAGTAGGCACCCTCATAGCACACTTCATTTCACTAAGAGTAGGCACCCTCATAGCACACTTCATTTCACTAAGAGTAGGCACTCTCATAGCACACTTCATTTCACTAAGAGTAGACACCCTCAAAGCACACTTCATTTCACTAAGAGTAGGCACCCTCATAGCACACTTCATTTCACTAAGAGTAGGCACCCTCATAGCACACTTCATTTCACTAAGAGTAGGCACCCTCATAGCACACTTCATTTCACTAAGAGTAGGCACTCTCATAGCACACTTCATTTCACTAAGAGTAGGCACCCTTATAGCACACTTCATTTCACTAAGAGTAGGCACCCTCATAGCACACTTCATTTCACTAAGAGTAGGCACTCTCATAGCACACTTCATTTCACTAAGAGTAGACACCCTCATAGCACACTTCATTTCACTAAGAGTAGACACCCTCATAGCACACTTCATTTCACTAAGAGTAGGCACCCTCATAGCACACTTCATTTCACTAAGAGTAGGCACTCTCATAGCACACTTCATTTCACTAAGAGTAGGCACCCTCATAGCACACTTCATTTCACTAAGAGTAGGCACCCTCATAGCACACTTCATTTCACTAAGAGTAGGCACCCTCATAGCACACTTCATTTCACTAAGAGTAGACACCCTCATAGCACAGTTCATTTCACTAAGAGTAGGCACTCTCATAGCACACTTCATTTCACTAAGAGTAGACACCCTCATAGCACAGTTCATTTCACTAAGAGTAGGCACTCTCATAGCACACTTCATTTCACTAAGAGTAGACACCCTCATAGCACAGTTCATTTCACTAAGAGTAGGCACTCTCATAGCACACTTCATTTCACTAAGAGTAGGCACCCTCATAGCACACTTCATTTCACTAAGAGTAGGCACCCTCATAGCACACTTCATTTCACTAAGAGTAGACACCCTCATAGCACAGTTCATTTCACTAAGAGTAGACACCCTCATAGCACAGTTCATTTCACTAAGAGTAGGCACTCTCATAGCACACTTCATTTCACTAAGAGTAGGCACCCTCATAGCACAGTTCATTTCACTAAGAGTAGGCACTCTCATAGCACACTTCATTTCACTAAGAGTAGGCACCCTCATAGCACACTTCATTTCACTAAGAGTAGACACCCTCATAGCACACTTCATTTCACTAAGAGTAGGCACCCTCATAGCACACTTCATTTCACTAAGAGTAGGCACTCTCATAGCACACTTCATTTCACTAAGAGTAGGCACCCTCATAGCACACTTCATTTCACTAAGAGTAGGCACCCTCATAGCACACTTCATTTCACTAAGAGTAGGCACCCTCATAGCACACTTCATTTCACTAAGAGAAGGTACCCTCATAGCACACTTCATTTCACTAAGAGTAGACACCGTCATATATCCCACTGCATGATGTATTAGCCATGGGTGGTGCGTTGTTTATCTGATGCTAGAACTCTTCAAGTTATGGAGATCTGAAATGTGATGTTTTTATTTTATAGGATTTACACCACTGATATTAGCCGCTACAGCAGGACACGTTGATGTTGTCGAGATATTATTAGATCATAGAGCTGATATTGAGGCTCAGTCGGAGAGAACCAAAGATACACCATTATCGTTAGCTTGTTCGGGTGGAAGATATGAGGTAATATAGAATACCTGTTTTAGGGGAAGAATGGGAGAATTGGCTTGTTCAGGTGAAAGATGAAATACCTATTTCGGGGGAAGGGGTGGGAGAGAATTAGCTTGTACAAGATTACGGTAAAATACCTGTTTTGAGAGGGAGGGGAATTAGTTTGTTCTGGTGCAAGATATGAGGTACAATAAAATATATATTTTGGGGGTGGGTGGTGTGGGGGGGGAATTGGCTTGTACAGGTGGAAGTTATGAGGTAATATAAAATAACTGATTTGGGGGGGGGGGGGGGAATTGGCATGTCCAGGTTGAAAGATATGAGGTACAATAGAATACCTGTTTGGGGAGGGGAATTGACTTGTTCAGGTGGAATATTATGAGGTACGATAGAATACCTATAAAGTCAGATCGCTATAATATCAGTCTAAAACTGGGGTTTGATGGCCGAATGGTTAGCATGTGAGCCATTTGCGCAAGGGAATTATTGAAATAAAATTAAACTATGTTAGTCCGAAATGACCCAGTTTGTGTCGAGTGGACGTTGAACTCTCTCTCTCAGTCAAAAAATTCCTTCAGTATTTACAAAGATAAAATGAATACAAAATTTTTTAACGTTCGTCATCCTTTCCAGATTACCGATGTGAGATCTTTTCGGTGCTGGAGGAATGTAGTGGATGGAGATAAATATTTTAAATGTATCAATGAAATATTTGTATTTTGTATTTGTAGGTGGTCGAGTTATTATTAGCGAGAGGTGCAAACAAAGAACATCGCAATGTCTCCGATTATACTCCGTTAAGTCTGGCGGCTTCCGGCGGTTATGTCAACATCATTAAACTTCTTCTCAATCATGGAGCAGAAATCAACTCCAGGTAAACACACAAGCTTTGTCATTTGAAAAGGAAATCACGTGGCTAAGTGGGTAAGAAGCTGGCCCGCTAGCCTGGAGGTCGGGTGTTTGATCCCTGCTTTGGCCGAGAAAGTACATCCAGATTTACCAGCATGGTTTCCCCTTGTTAGTGATGCAGGACGGGAGGGCCTGACAAGGACAGCTGTCTAGTTGTTCAGATGGTACGAAAAACCGAGGTCCTGTGTACACATTGGCGTGCATGTAAAAGATCCCTTGGCAGTTGGAATTCGATATAAGAGTAGGCCGTAGTGCCGCTGCCCAGGCAAAATTTCCCTCAGAGCACACTGTATGGCGTATGCCCGTCTTCATAAGTCCAGTTTAGGAGCAGAACAATAGGGCGTTAAACCCCATTTCATTTCATTTCATTTTGTCATTTGAAAAACATATCAAAAGATCTGTCATTGAATCATGGTTTAGATTCGTAGAGGGGGGTTGGATAGCCAAATAATTAGCATGTGAGCTCTGTATCGTAAGGTCAGAATTTGAGTCAACTGGGGTGATTTCGATTCCCCCCAGTTGTACATGACAAGGAGTAGCGTTGCCTGTCCAACCTTGTGGGTTTTCTCCGGGTCCTCCGGTTTCCTCCCACTGCTAAAGACCCCTACGTACAAGCGAATTATTGAAATAAAATTGAGTCATATGTTAGTCTTGAAATGAACTAGTTTGTGGCAAGTGGACGTTAAGCCCCATTCCTCTCTCTCTCGCTCGCTCTCGCAGTTGTACGTGACCAGCAGTAGGATGGCCTGTCGAACCTCATGGGTTTTTATCTGGGTTCTCCGGCTTCCACACACTGCTAAACAATCCTACATGCAAGCGAATTATTGAAATAAAGTTTAACGATATGTTAGTCCCAAAATGACTTAGTTAGAGCCTATAAGTTCTATTATTTATAGTACATGGATTATTTTCAGGACTGGTTCTAAGTTAGGTATTTCACCGTTAATGTTAGCGGCCATGAACGGCCATCTTGCTGCTGTTAAATTGTTATTGGATATGGGTAGTGATATTAATGCCCAGGTGAGTACTCCACACATTTTATTACCTGTATCTTTGTATCTTGATATTAATGCCCGATTGAGTACCTCACACCTTTCATTACCTGTATCTTTGTATATAATATTAATGCCTGATTGAGTACCTCACACCTTTCATTACCTGTATCTTTGTATGTAGTATTAATGCCTGATTGAGTACCTCACACCTTTCATTACTTGTATCTTTGTATTTTGTATTAATGCCTGATTGAGTACCTCACACCTTTCATTACCTGTATCTTTATATATAATATTAATGCCCGATTGAGTACACCACGGCTTTCATTACCTATGTCTTAATGTCTTATATTTACATAAGGGCTGTTGGATGGACAAATGGCTAGCGTGTGCGCGCTGTATCATAACGTCTGTCATTGAGTCAACTGGCGTGGTTTTGATTCTTCAGGTGTACGTGACGAGGAGTAGGGCCCCCTGTCCAACCTCGTGGGTTTTCTGAGGATCCTCCGGTTTCCTCCCACTGCTAACGACCCCTACACGCAAGCGAATTATTGAAACATTTATCTGGTAGCCCAAAGCATAGCAAGGCCGTCATTGACGCAATTGGTGCTAAAAATTAGAAACACAATTTATTTCAAACATTTTACGCTAGCATTCTTCATCAACGTGTTTTTTTATATTTTGTTTCTTTACTTTCAGATTGAAACAAATCGTAATACGGCCCTGACCTTGGCCTGTTTTCAAGGTCGTCATGAAGTTGTTAGTTTGTTAGTGGATAGAAAAGCCAACATAGAACATAGAGCTAAGGTAGGAACATAAGAGTTGGGGTAGGAACATAGAACCAGGGTAGGAATATAGAACCAGGGTAGGAATATAGAACCAGGGTAGGAACATAGAGCTGAAGTAGGAATATAGGGCAAAGGTAAGAACATAGAGCTGTGGTAGGAACATAGAACCGGGGTAGGAACGTAGAGCTGGGGTAGAAACACTTAAGTGTGGGATAGGAACATTAAGATGGGATAGGAACATAGAACTGGGGTAGGAACATAGAACCAAGGTAGGAACATAGAGCTGGTTTAGGAACATAGGAGTTGGGATAGGACCATAGAGCTGGGGTAGGAACATAAGAGTTGCAGTAGGAACATAGAGCAAAGGTAGGAACATACAGCTGGGGTAGGAGTGGGCAACAATGTTTTAAATCATGTAGTTTGTCTTACTATTGCTCAAAATTTATTTCCTGCTTTATTTTTGGTTGCAGACGGGATTAACTCCATTAATGGAAGCAGCTTCTGGTGGTTATGTAGAAGTTGGTCAAGTTTTGATAGATAAAGGGGCCGATGTTAACGCACCCCCAGTACCGTCGTCAAGGGATACAGCATTAACCATCGCTGCAGATAAAGGACATTATAAATTTGTTGAACTTCTTATCATCAAGTAAGTTTCATTCGGCTTGGACAAAAAACTGAGGTCCTGTGTACACATTTGCGTATACGTAAAAAAAAACTTGACAATCCAAGCATAATTTCCCTCATAGCACTCTGTATGGTGTATGCTCGGCTTCATTTAGGCCAGTAGGAACAGAACAGTAGTGGTTTAACGTGTGCGTCTGTCCAGTCTTGCAGGTTTTCTCCGGGTCCTCTGATTCCCACCAACTGCTAAAGACCCCTACGCACAAGCGAATTATTGAAATAAAAAAATTAAACCATGTGTTGGCCCCGAAATATACCTCTCTCCCTGTATAATATAGAATATTAAACATATTACTGTACATGAATAGAGGGGTTGGGTGACCGAATGGTTAATGCGTGCGCGTTGTATCTTAAGGTGTGTCGGTGAGTCAATTGGCATGGTTTCAAGCCCTCACTTACATGTGACAAGGAGTAGACTGGCCTGTCCAACCGCTTGCGTTATCTCAGGGTCCTCTGGTTTCCTCCCACAGCAGAACCATAGTTAGTCCCAAGAGACCTAGTTTATTGTCGAGTTTTGAAAAATTGACTCTGTATTAACTGTTGCTTTTCTTTCTTACAGAAATTGCCAAATCGAGGTGAAGAATAAGAAGGGAAATTCCCCTCTGTGGTTAGCGTGTGCTGGTGGCCATCTTGATGTCGCTCAATTACTGGTTCAGAATTCAGCGAGTATCGACAGTATGGATAATCGTAAAGTTTCTTGTTTAATGGCCAGTTTTCGTAAAGGCCACACAAAGATTGTAAAATGGTTGGTGAAGCTCGTTTCACAGTTCCCTTCTGATCCTGAATTACAGAAATATATCGCAACTGTCTCTGATAAGGTGAGGCCCAATTGTTAATTTTAAGGGAGAAGGCTGATAGGGGCCACGTTGGTGAGAGGTACCGTATCTGCCATTGGTAGCATGTTTAAGAGATCTCCGACAGTGGAAATGCTGCTGTCCACGACAAATTTTGTTCATAGCATATGCTTGTCTTTATTAGCCGTTTTTCTTTTTTTTGTACTATTACTGTAATCTTCAAATTAAATTAAGTCAGAAATTGATCAAAGCCCTTTTCTAGTGATACGCAAACTGCCAAGATGAAAATTAAATGTATTTTGATATTACGGTTACAAGAGATTCTTCCCCATCATGCTGCATCATAAAGTCTGTCATTGAGTCAACTGGCGTGGTTTTGATACCCCGGTTGTACGTGACAAGGAGTAGGGTCGTCTGTCCAACCTCATGGGTTTTTCTTTGGGCCCTCCAATTTTCTCCCACTGTTAAAGACCCCTACGCCCAAGCGAATTATGGAAATAGAATTGAACCATATGTAAGTCCTGAAATGACCTAGTTTGTGTCAATTGGACGTTAAACCCCATCTCTCTCTCTCTCTCTCTCTCTACTTTGAATTTGATATAAGAGTAGGCGATAGTGCCGCTGTCCGTGCAAAATTTCCCTCATAGCACACTGTATGGCGTATACCCATCTTTAGTAGCCCAGAATAGGAGCAGAACAGTAGGACGTTAAACACCATTTTATTTCATTTGAATTCATCTCTTCCCTGAATGACCCCCATATTGAAAAAAATTATTATTCTATTTTGTAATACGGTTCTAATCCATTTTACATCTTTCATACACATACTGGAATAATACCAAACCCTGCCAAAACACCAAACCCCGGTAAAAGCCACCCCGGCAACCCCACAAAACTCTAAACCCCGGTAAAATGTTTACCTAGGTTTCAGAATAGTATGTATAGAACCTCACCAATTGAGTGAAATTAGTGTGAACAGTTCAATATAAACGAAACTAGTCACTATAAATTAGGATAACTGGACAATTCGCCCATCTTTATATACTCTATAAAAAACAAAATGAAATAGGATCTGTGTTTTAATCAGGGGTCATACGAGTGGATTTTGACCCTAAGACGTCTGACATTTGATTAACTGTTTCATTGGCTAATCCCTCACATCAACCAGAAAGCCTGTTATAGAAACAACTCTTCCAGATCCTAGTGTAGTAAAGACAAGTAAAACGAAATTTTGAACTCTAAAAACGAAACGAAATAGGATCTGTGTTTTAATCAGAATGAATGAAATGGAGTTTAACGTCCTACTGTTCTGCTCCTAACCTGGGCTAATGAAGACGGGCATACGCCATACAGTGTGCTATGAGGGAAATTTTGCCCGGACAGCGGCACTACGGCCTACTCTTATATCGAATTCCAACTGCCAAGGGATCTTTTACGTGCATTCCAATGTACACACGGGACCTCGGTTTTTCGTCTCATCCGAAGGACTAGACAGCTATCCTTGTCAGGCCCTCCGTCCTGCATCACTGACAAGGGGGAACTACGCCAGAAAATCTGGATGAACTTTCTCGGCCAATGCAGGGATCGAACACCCGACCTCCAGGCTAGCGAGCTAGCGTCTTACCCACTTAGCCACGTGATCCCCGTGTTTTAATCAGATTGAATGATCATGTATCTGTTTTCTGATTATTTGTTTTATTTTCTAATCAGGAATTGCAACAGAGATGTGAACAGTGCATGGAGGCGATAATTAGTGCTAAAAACTGGCAAGCTGAGGAAGCCAATAAAAACGCCACGATTCTTCTGGAAGAACTGGATAAAGAGAGACAAGAATTGGAGAATAAGAAAGCTGTACAAGCCAAAAAACGGGAGAGAAAGAGAATGAAGAATAAAAAGAAGAATATAAAAGATATCAATAAAAAGGAAGATGAGTAAGTGTGTCTTTATATTCAATGGGGGGGTTGGATGGCTGAATGGTTAGCGTGCGCGCGCTGTATCATACAGTCTGCCATTGAGTCGACTGCCGTGGTTTCGAATCCCCGGTTGTACGTGGCAAGGAGTAGGGTCGCCTGTCCAACCTCGTGGGTTTTCTCCGGGTCCTCCGGTTTCCTCCCACTGCTAAAGACCCCTACGCGCAAGCGAATTATGTAAATAAAAAAAATAATAAAAAAAACATATGTTAGTCCCGAAATGACCTAGTTTGTGTCGAGTGGACGTTAAACCCATTTCTTTCTCTCTCTCTTTATTTTCAATGGTCTTCACTGCTGTGGACGTAAAAGATCAGTTGGCAGTGCCCGTAAAAGATCAGTTGACAGTTGGAATTCGATATAGGTTGTAGTGCCACTGTCCGAGCAAAATTACCCTCATAACACACTGTAGGAAAAAAGTTAATATTTGGGGCTTATTAAGTCGCATCGATGTCATTCTTATCACTATCCACTGCTGATCAGTGTGGGAGAATGCTTGTTTTTCTTTTCACCCACATTTAACTGTATAACACCCCATGATTCAAGGATCTGAATATAACAATACACCTATAAATGTGTTTTATTTTTACAGGTGTAAATATTCTTCACCTGAGCCGGACAGTTCAGAATCAGCTCATAATGAGGTGGAGAAAATTGAGCAAGAAATTGTGAAATTAATAGTTCCTGTTGCCACGACAACATCTACCATAGGTAAGATTTGTAGAAAGACGTCTTTAAATACTCTGATTATTATTTGAGTCTTTTTTGTAAAAGTTGAATAATAGTCAAAAAATGGTTCAATTCATGATCTCCAGTTTCCTCCCACAGCTAAAGACCCCTACGTGAAAGCGAATTACTGAAATAAAATTGAACTGTATGTTAGTCCCATTACATTGGGGGAGTTGGATGGTCGAATGGTTAGCACGTATGCACTCTGTATCATAAGGTCTGTCATTGAGTCAACTGGCGTGGTTTCGATCCCTGGTTGTACGTGACAAAGAGTAGGGTCGCCTGTCTAACCTCGTGGGTTTTCTCCGGGTACTCAGGTTTCCTCCCACTGCTAAAGACCCCTACTTGTATTTTATATTGAATGTGTTTCAGGTACCACCTTACCTACCACCACTGAACCAACTGTAGCCCGTAACCGTAAAACTAGAGTAGCACCAACATCCAGTCTCGAGGCGAGAAAAAATCGTAAAAACCGTCGCGAAGAGCGAGAGAGACAGTTGGAGAAACGTAACGCGATACCGAAAACATCATGCAACTGGAAGTCTGTGGCTACAACAACTTTAACGATAACAACAACAGCTAATGTGATAACGACTGTGAGTATGGGAGCTGTGACGTCGACGACCACATCGTCCAGTAGTAGCGGGGGACGCGTCAAGAAAAATGACCTTGTATATCGGTCCAACCATAACACAGGTAACTGTTACTAAGTATGGTTTAATTGTCGAGAGCGAGACATTAAGTAATATATTGATAAGACATGAGGCGTTAGCCAAGTGTTGTTTCAATATATTACACAATGTCTTTATCTCGAGACCATTAAACAACTTAAAATACAGACACTATCCCGCACGTGCTTTTCAATGAAGTAAGTCACACGAGTCCAATATTTCATCTAGTATAGATAATGTACGATTGGCAAGTTTCCCGTACACTATTGGAAATAATGGTACGCCAACATCAAAGGATGATGTCACATTTGTATTTTAAATATAGATGATGATTAAATATAATAATAATCTTTTAAAGATGCATTATGTAAGATTTAGGCCATATGAAAAAACAATATCCTGGTTTTCAGTTTGGTTAACATGTGCACGTTGTATCATATTTTCTTTCTTTAATTGCGTCAAGGTGTGTGGTTTTGATTTCCTCTACGCACAAGCAAATTATTGAAATAAAATTGAACCATGTTAGTCCCGAAATGACCTAGTTTATTTCAAATGGAATTTAACCCCATTTCGCTTTCAAAATGCTCAATTATCAGGAGATCCTTGGTTAAATTCTGGTGTTGTGACCGAGAAAGTAACTCGGGACGAGAGCGTCTTGATGTTTGCCGAGAAACATCTTCAGGACTTTCCAGTCTGGATTCCTCTTGTCTGTGGCGTAGGATGAAGAGGGCTTTGCACTGACAAGACATCTGGTCGTTCTGATGGGATTTAAATCCTTGGCAGTCAGAATTCAAACAGGAGAATAGGCGGAAATTACTGCTGCTGTCTGGGCAATGAGATCTTCTGTGACATATTCACCCCAGAGACCATATGAGAGGTTTACTTAATAGATAGGAAGAGAAAATTCTTCTCCCAAATAACCTGAGTATTCCTGTCCAGGGGAGGTTGAATGGCCGAATGGTTAGCTTTGTATCATAAGGTCTGTCATTGAGTCAACTAGTGTGGTTTCGATTCCCCGCTTGTACGTGACAAGGAGTAGGGTCGCCTGTCCAACCTCATGGGGTTTCTCCGTGTCCTCTGGTTTCATCCCATTGCTAAAGACCCTTATGCGCAAGTGAATTATTGATATAGAATTGAAGCACATGTTAGTCCCGAAATGACCTAGTTTGTGTCCTCTGGTTTCCTCCTATTGCTAAAGACCCCTACCCCCCCTCCCTCTCTCTCTCTCTCTCTCTCTCTCGCTCTCTCTCTCTGACATGTTATATATTATAACTGTTTACAGGTATTGGTGATTTAGATGATTTCGGTACAATCCCTCCAAGTATGAAACTGCCAGATAAAGAAATTCAAAAACTTACTAAAAAACTGGACAAGATCAAAATCAACAATGTGTAAGTTATTCAGATTAAATAACCTAACTCTCTGTATCAGAATAGGGGCTGGCACAAAATGGTGTCTAATTCTTTGGATGGTATGAAAAAAACAAGGTCCTGTGTGCAAATAATTGCTTTCCAGACAAACTTTACTTCTAATAGCACAAATATTATACATAATGAATGCTTGTCTGTCTTCATTAGGCGTTGGTTGGATGTCCGAATGGTTAGCTCGTGCGCGTTGTATCATAAGGTTTGTCATTGAGTCAGCTGACGTGGTCTTGATTCCCCGGTTGTATGTGACAAGAATTAGGGTCGCCTGTCCAACCTCGTGGGTTTTCTTCGGGTCCTCCGGTTTCCTCCCACTGTTAAAGACCCCTACAGGCAACCAAATTATTGAAATAATGACCTAATTTGTGTCGAGTGGATGTTAAACCCCATTTCTCTCTCTCTTTACCCCAAATAGCACACGTTTATACTTGATGTATGCCTGTCTTTATTAGTATGGTCAGTCTAAATTAGACGGCACCAGTTCCGGTCCATTCTTTATATTGTTATATAAAACTATTATATCTTGATTACAGCACTGATAAAACAGCCACTGCTGGTTCCCATAACAACCTGGGATCAAAGGTCAACCAGTCAACTAGTCCCAAAAAAGGTCAGAAAAAAGAAGAAGGTTGGAAGGAAGTAGTTAGAAAGTAAGTTTTGGGAGTCATTGTTAAAGCAGTGTATTTTTACACAATACAACTGTTGTGCAAAACATGTCATATGATGTTTACACGATACAATCGTCGTGCAAAACATGTCGGATGTCGTGCGAAATATGTTGTATGCTGTTTACAGGATACAACCGTTGTGCGAAATATGTCGGAGGCTGTTTACAAGAAACGACCGTCGTGCGAAATATGTCAGAGGCTGTTTAAACAATACAACGGTTGTGCGAAACCTGTCAACAGGCTGTTTAAGCAATACAATCGCTCTATGTCAAAATGATGCCAAGCGACATTTATTCACATGTCAACTCTCTAGGCTATCAGATGACTTTGATATCGAATCAATCAGATTAAAACACATCCTATTTCGTTCGTTTTTTATAGTTCAAAATTCCGTTTTACTTGTCTTTACTACATTAGGATCTGGAAGAGTTGTTGTATAACCTGCGTTCTGGATAATTCGAAGGATTAGCCAATGAAACTGTCTGTTACGGCAAGTTTTTGGCGTGAGGTCCACGGAACTGTGGGTCAACCACTAGAAACATCAAGGCTGATTGGTTAATCAAATGTCTGACGTCATAGGGCAGTCAGATCTTCATGTAGTGTAGGCTATCGAAAGTACAAACAAACAAAACGAAATATAGATCTGTATTTTATTTAGATTGATATTGAATTGATTAGACCAATTGGATGCCACTCAATAAAATGGCTGACAATCTATTATCATGTCAATTGTACTTGGATATTTCTTGTCAAAACTTCCTACACTCATAACTTTGATCAGAATAAAGTATATATTCTTTTGTCATCTAGTTTTGAATTATAATAACAAGAACGTCCAGCTCCCTATCTAAATTTTACATGACTATTTAAAGATACATTATTTAAGAGCTTAATAAAAGAATTGGCCGTTCTTGCTATATTAATTAAAAAAAACTTGATGATGATAAAAGAAAATATTGAAAATTTCAGTCAAATTACTTTATTCTGAATGGAATTGTCAGTGTTGGCAGATTGGACTAGAAATAGGCATCAGTTGTGTCTGCGCCATCTATTAGCATTGCCGGTCATTTGATTTACTCCACCCACACATATTCTCGAATATCAAGTAACGTTCTCAATGGCTATGGTACCGGCACTTCGCAGGCCACAGATCACCAGTCTCCGGTAGTAATGTCAGTGACTAACGGTAAACGTTAGATTAGTCTGCCATTTATTGATTTAATTTTAAGTGAACGACTCTTTAAATCCAAACTGTATCCAAGCCATCCTTGGGTCCACAGAGTTGATATTGAACTTGTCGTGTAAATAAGGGTCTAATTGATAATTTCTATAACATTTCAAACCTAAAGAAAGACTTGCAATAGGCAGATTTAGCTCTTGCATAATGTATTGTTAAAGAAATATTTTGTATGTGTATCATTTTAATATATATTTGCAGTATTTTTTCTGTGGATTGATTTTATAATATTTATATTTGATTGTTTCAGAATGCCGTGTGTTTCTAGATTAAAGAAAGTATCTGTTCCAGCAAATGCTATAAGTCGTGTGATTGGTCGTGGTGGATGTAATATTAACGCTATACGAGATGTATCAGGGGCTCATGTAGAAGTAGAGAAACAGAAAGGAATGGGAGAACGATCCATCACTATCAAGTACGTTCCTCTACTTATTATACGCCCGGGAGCCACATTGACTAAGTGGGTAAGGCGCTGGCTCGCTAGCCTGGAGGTCACATGTTCTATCCCTGCATTGACAGAGAAAGTTCATCAGGATTTGCCGACATGGTATCCCCTTGTCCATGATGCAGGACATAGGGCTGACAAGGACAACCATGTAGTAGTTCGGATGGAATGGAAAACCAAGGTCCTGTGTATACATTAGCGGGCACGTAAAAGATCCCCTGGCAGTTGGAACTCAATATAAGAGTAGGCCATAGTGCCGCAGTCCGGGGAAAACTTCCCTCACAGTACACGGTATGCCCGTCTTCATTAACCCAGTCTGAGCATAACAGAGCATTCCATTTCATTTCATTTGTCAAGACATGGAGTAGGCTCCAACCTCCCATGATTTTCTCCAACAAGTCCTCTGGTTTCCTCCCACTAATATGCACAAGCAAATTATGGAAATAATATATTTGATTCATATATATCTCTCGCTCTCTCTCTCTCTCTCTCTCTCTCTCTATATATATATATATATTATCTACATAGCTAGGGTGACCCCTGCACTCTACAGAAAGTAGGTCTCGACACGGCTAATGTGCACGCTTCAGTGGTTGTCTCGAACTATCAGCAGTGGACTGTATGATACTATAAATAGCCATGGCACGTGCAATTCTCTACAAATCTGTCAACTATTACAGCCGTAAAAAATCTATTGTTGACCATTTTGAATAGCAGTAAAATTTAGCTTCTTGGTTAATACAGCAGCTTTAGAAATTACGTTCGTTTTATTTTTTAAATTGCTTTATCATTAACTGTACCGTTAAGAGCGGCATCTTTCGGTTTAGTACAGATAATAGCTCTGAATCACTTTCGTTAGCAGGAACATGATACTAGCAGTAGTTTCATTTTACTTTTACAAGCTTCTTAAAACAATTGTTGAGCTGGCTAACGTGCGTTTTTCTAAATTCAATTTCTTGTTCCAGCTTTCTGTTATGTTTCGTAAAAAGGTAGTCTTGATTATCCCGACCTGTCAATCAGACGTAGAATAGTCGGTACACTGGTTAAGCGAGACTAATTTCAAAGCAAGGGCCCGTAACCTATATTTTACTCAAAAGTGTCTGGATGTTATGGACGAAACGTTGAACCAGTTTCAGTCTATTATTTATAGATCATTAAATGGTCATAGCTTATTAAGTACAACATGATCGTTTATTTAGTGACTATAATTGTGTGAAACTGATTTAGGGCTTGGTATTTATATATAAATATTGTGGAGTAATTGTCGAGATATTTGGAGAAATTTATTTATGGTGGGTCACCCTAACATAGCTAACAAAATGTTTTATTTTCTGTTAATCTTCTACTCTGATCAAATTGATATTTTTTATTTCAGAGGTTCGTTAGAGGCGACACGACAAGCCCATGCATTGATAACAGCATTGGTACAAGATCCAGAGAAGGAATTGGCCGAGATCATCGGAGAAACGAAAGCGGAGTTGAAGGCTGACAAACCTCCAGTCATTGACACATTCTCAGCTGATATGCCGATTGGAACTTTTAACGCTGCATCTGTTAGTCATAACTCGGCCAATAGCAATGCGCCTGTCAAATCATCAGGAACAAGAAGTAACGAGGCCCGTCAGGGTATGGGAACGCCAACTCATGCAAAAGTCAACTCACAACCTCCCATGTCTGTATCTATGTGGCAAGATCCTAACCCAACTCCGTTAGCATCACCAAGAAAAAGTCCCCAAAAACTCTTCATGAATCCGCCACCATCCAGCGGACCCATGGGGTACGATAAAAACGGAATTCAGATTTACTCAGAGAGACATCAAACGCCTGTAGTTACTGTTTCCACGACAACCGTTTCCCATAACAACAATCAAGGTATAAAGGTCATGGTTACCACGACATCAACAATTACAGGTCAACGGGTGGACAACCGACCCCAGATGTCTGGAAAGATGCCAAATAAAACCCAGCCGACACCGGGACCTATACGTCTGTTACAAAGACCCGGAACGACAACCAAGTCGGAACATCAACCGTTACCAATAGTAACCTCTCATGCTAGTCATGCTGTAACGTCTAGTCAGCAGCATGCTCCCCCTGTTTCCCCAGCAACCACTCCAGGAGAATACTCCCCCTTCAACACCTTTATTAGCAATGTTTTCATGAAGAAAGAAGAAGATAAGATGAATTTCGCGAGCGTTGCGAAAGCGGGCGTCGTGTCCACTTCCACAAATATGATAAACAACTCTCACCCATCGGGTCCGATACCCAATGATCATATGATGGATCCAGCCCTACAGGCTAAAGCACCAGGCTACAAACTCGGACGAACGGCATCACCTCAATTCAGACAAGAACAGGAGCTTCAAGTCCCAACAATAAGGAATTTTCACATCCCTATAAATAACATGAATCCGATGACCGAGCATGATTTCAGTCGAGCTCCTGGATATCCCAGCATGATTTCTCCGCGATCAAATAACTCGACTCCCAGCGGTCTGTCTCCCCGTAACCATGGACCCATGGAGATGAATCAACAGTCGCTAGCCGCGTTGTCCACTAGTCAAAAAGCTGAATACAGTACTCCAAACCAACCAATGACCCTTCCGGAAATCAAAAGCACATTAAATCCGAATGCTCCCGACTTCCACCTGGCGGGAAATCAAAACTCACCCATCATGGAGAACATGGGTATGGGTATTCCACCCAATTTACAGAGATCTCCACGAGTTCCCCCCATGCACGGAAATCCCACGCCTACTGTACAGCAATCGTTACTACTATTAAACGCCAACAACTTGAACATGCTGAGTCAAAAAGCTGACATCGCCTCCATTATTCAGCAGCTTGCATCCCATAATATGAATCCAGGTAGCGGGGCGTTTAATCCTCCTCCACCTGTACAACAGATACAGCGAGCTCTTTCTCCCATGATGCCACAGCTTGGTAGACCGAACAGCGCACCTTCTATAGGTACTATACAAGGTATGTTATAATACGGCAGCAATGAAATGGGGGTAATCTGGTTAAAACACAGATCCTATTTCGTTTCGTTTTTATAGTTCAAAATTTCGTTTGTCTTTACTACACTAGGATCTTGAAGAGTTGTTATCATTGACGTGTTCTGGATGGTGTGAGGGATTACCCAATGAAGCGGTCTGTTACAGTGAGCTTTAGGCATGTTTTGCACGGAACTGTGGTAATCCACTAGAAACATCAGTAATGATTGGGTAATCAAATGTCTCACGTCATAGGGTCAAAAGCTGCTCGTATGACCTCGGACACGACCTATTGCTACAACTTGTCAGATCTTCATGTAATGTAGGCCATCGGAAGTATAAAGAAACGAAATATAGATCTGTATTTAAATCAGATTGTGCGCCCGTTGTCGGCTTGAAACAACTCTCCGAATATTGGCTTGGAAATTCAGTATTTACAACAAAAAAAACCTGTTCATCCGTAAAGTCCTCAAATAGTTTCACTCAGGGTTGGAACACTCTCAATGGACCGCGAAATTTGTCAAATTCCTCAAGAAACGCGTCCGTCCGCAACCACTCGCCATCGGACCAATAGAGGTGGTTTTGTGTCCGACAGAAAAATGGCCTGTCGACCTTGGGTCAGACAGGATGTCTATGCGCCCTACTAAGTCTTGGTCAGTCGGACATTCTTTGCTCCCTCTGTATTTTAATCAGATTGAAACGGGGGATTAACATTCTACATTTCTGAACCAACCAAGTCAATAAAAACAGGCATACAACCAGACAGTTTGCCGTCCGGAACATTTTGCCCGGACGGTGGTATTCCCTCAAACTCATTCTACATTTCGGCACCAACTGGGCTAATAGAGACAAGGGGGTTGGATGGCCGAATGGTTAACACGTGCGCGCTGTATCATACAGTCTGTCATTGAGTCAACCGGCATGGTTTCGATTCCCCAGAAACTCCATTTCATTTCATTTCATTTCGATTCCCCAGTTGTATGTGACAAGACGTATGGTCGCCAGTCCAACCTCGTGGCTTTTCTCCCGGTCCTCCGGTTTCCTCCCACTGCTAAAGACCCCTACACGCATGCAAATTATTGAACCATATTGTAGTCCCGAAGGGGATCACGTGGCTAAGTGGTTAAGACGCTAGCTCGCTAGCCTGGAGGTCGGGTGTTCGATCCCTGCATTGGCCGAGAAAGTTCATCCAGATTTTCCGGCGTGGTTCTCCCTTGTGATGCAGGACAGAGGGGCTGACAAGGAAAGCTGTCTAGTCGTTCGGATGGGACGAAAAACCGAGGTCCCGTGTACACATTGGCGTGCACGTAAAAGATCCCTTGGCAGTTGGAATTCGATATAAGAGTAGGCCGTAGTGCCGCTGTCCGGGCAAAATTTCCCTCATAGCACACTGTATGGCGTATGCCCGTCTTCATTAGCCCAGGTTAGGAGCAGAACAGTAGGACGTTAAACTCCATTTCATTTCATTTCATTTTGTAGTCCCGAAATGATCTAGTTTGTGTCATGTAGATGTTAAACCCCAATTCTCTCTAATAGAAACAGGTATACACTAGTTTGTCGTCCTAAACATTTTGCCCCGATGGTGGCATTCCCCTAAACACAACTAATATTAAATGTCAAGAGTGCTTGCCAATGAGGAGTACACGTGTGACCTTCTTTTTTGTTGTCCCCTCCGATCTGCTGTAAACTTATATACATTGTTTAGACCAGTGAAACACAATCTTCTACTGCAACAATTTCTGATAGAGTTATTACCCTTGATTATTGCAATTATTTCGATCCCTGCATTGGCCGAGAAAGTTCATCCAGATTTTCCGGCGTGGTTCCCCCTTGTCAGTGATGCAGGACAAAGGGCCTGACAAGGACAGCTGTCTAGTCATTCGGATGAGACGAAAAACCGAGGTCCCATGTACACATTGGCGTGCACGTAAAAGATCCCTTGACAATTGGAATTCGATATAAGAGTAGGCCGTAGTGCCGCTGTCCGGGCAAAATTTCCCTCATAGCACACTGTATGGCGTATGCCCGTCTTCATTAGCCCAGTTTGGAGCAAAACAGTAGGACGTTAAACCCCATTTCATTTCATTTTATTTCATTTCATTAGCCAAGTGCGAGCCGAACAGTAGAACGTTAAACTTTAATATTTAAATATTTCAGATATTAATAAAATAATAATCAACAAATTGATCAATAATTGTTTAAAACATGATATTTTATTTGTATTTTAGAGAGACCCGCCCCAGTAAATGAAGTAAAACCCTCATTAGAAGATCGGCGGGTACCTCGACCAATCGGAGTAGAGCGAGCACATCGTAAAGCTCCAGGTCGATCATCTCTAGAATTTGCTGCTGGACGAGATTTTGGGAAACTGTGGGAGATGAATCAAGGTAGGAAAGCCATTTATGAATATAGTCATTCGGATGGGACAAAAATTGAGGTACTGTCGTATTGATCCTTTACTGGATGATCATTATTGTAATATAAGTTACGTGAGATGGGAGTTATCTGCCCCTGTCGACTCTCCTCTGTAATATATATATTGAAGTTAATAAAAGGCACACATACTTCGAAGTGTGGTCGTACCACGAGAATGTCTTGTTTTAATATATAAGGGGGTTTGAGATATGAATATGACCGTCCATCCACGTGCTGATATATAGAAGGCATCTAGAAGGTAGTGATCCCAACACAACAGTACCATATACACATTATCCTGCACATAAAGGAAATAAGAGTAGGGCCGTAACTTCACTGTACGGCATATACTCATCTTTATATGTTAAACCCCATTTTATTTCATTGATCATAAAGTAACTTAGGGTTTTTGGATGGCCGAATGGTTAGCGCTCGAATGTTGAATCAAAAAGTCTGTCATTGAGTCAGCTGGTGTGGTTTCGATTCCCCGGTTGTATGTGACAAGGAGTGGGGTTGCCTGTCCAACCTTGTGGATTTTCTCCGAGTCCTCTTCTATTTGTCTCTGATAGTCCCAATTAATGAGTCTCTTACGAGTATCACAATAAAGGGCCTGACATGGGCAGCTGTCTAGTTGTTTGGATGGGACAAAAATCGAGGGCCTGTGTATACATTGGCTTGCACGTAAAAGATCCCTTAGCAGATGGAATTCGATATAAGAGTAGGCCATAGTGCCACTGCCCGGGCAAAATATACCCTCATTGCACACTGTATGGCATATGCCAATCTTCATTAGCCCAGCCGGAGCAGAACAGTAGGTGGTTAAACCCTATTTCATTTTATTTCATTTTTGTATCGCAATAACAAATAGTCCCTTTTGTCTAAATCGTTAATAAAATTGTTTAATATTTTTATTTTAGAAGTGAATCATGATTGGGTGCCATCAACAACGCATTTAATGACGGCTGCCTCAATGTCGTCGTCTGTCATGACATCATCAGTGATAACGGGTGGTAATATGGTATATAATTTAAACTCTTTACCAGGAGGAGGACCTCCAACTAACGATACACCTCATGAAAGAACATCTTATCATGAAAATATACCACAGCTTGATCCAAACTTACCTGTAAGTCTACTTATACAAGTCTCTTGGACCTATTTACATCTTTCCATTTACAATGCATTATATATTGGGGAGTGGGGGGGGGGACTGAATGGTTAGCGTGTGGGTTGCTGTATCATAAGGTCTGTCATTAAGTCAACTGGCGTGGTTTTGATTCCCCGTTTGTACGTGACAAGATGTAGGGTCGCCTATCAAACCTCGTGGGTTTTCTCCAGGTCCCGTTTCTTCCCCCTGCTGAAGACCCAAAATTATTGAAATAAAATTGAACCCGAAATAACCTAGTTTGTGTCGAGTGGATGTTAAACCCCATTTCTCTGTCTCTCACTCTCCAGGGGGGTTGGATGGCTGAATGGTTAGCGTGTGCGCGCTGTATCATAAAGTCTGTCATTGAGTCGACTGGCGTGGTTTCGAATCCCCGGTTGTACGTGGCAAGGAGTAGGGTCGCCTGTCCAACCTCGTGGGTTTTCTCCGGGTCCTCCGGTTTCGTCCCACTGCTAAAGACCCCTACGCGCAAGCGAATTATGTAAATAAAATTAAAAACCAAATGTTAGTCCCGAAATGACCTAGTTTGTGTCGAGTGGATGTTAAACCCCATTTCTCTGTCTCTCACTCTCCAACATCAATTTTTTTTTTTTACGACATGGTTTCCCCTTGTCAGTGGTGCATAACGGAGGGCCTGACAAGGACAGCTGTCTAGTCCTTCGGATGATATAATAAATATGTGAAAATATTTTACACACCTTTACCTGGCCACCTGTGAAACCCCAGTAAATTGATATGTCTTTTGTTATTTTATAAGCAGACGGCAAGTATGGTGACGATGTTTGCGAATGGCGGTGTACCGGGCCATTATCCTCCCAATCAACACATGATGGCACCACGTATGTCTGGAGATAATTTACCCAATCTCTGGAACTCGGGTATTAAACAACCAACACAAGATTCCATAGAAAATGGGGTAAGTATTTCATGTGAGTTTGATGTGAGAAACGTTTGTATTTCTTTGAAGAAAGAGCCGCAGTGGCTCAGTGAGTAAGAGGTTGGCTCGCTAACCTGGAGGTCATGTGTTCGATCCCAGTGTTGACCGAGACAGTTCATCAGGATCTTTTATCATAAGTCTTTCGTATGGGACAAAAAATCTGAGATACCGTGTGTACATTGGCATGCACAGAAAAAACAAACTTGGCTGTTCTGGCAAATTTCCCTTATAGCACACTGTATGGCATATGCAGGTCTTCATTGGGCCAGTCTGCGCAGGACAGGACATTAAACCACGTTTTCGCTAGCCTAGAGGTTAGGTGTCCGATCCCTGCATTAGCCGAGAAAGTTCATCCAGATTTTCCGGCGTGATTTCCCCTTGTCAATGATGCAGGACGGAGGGCCTGACAAGGACAGTTGTCTAGTCGTTCGGATGGTACGAAAAACCGAGGTCCCATGTCCACATTGGCGTGCACGTAAAAGTTCCCTTGGCAGTTGGAATTCGATATAAGAGTAGGCCATAGCACCGCTGCCCGGGCAAAATTTCCCTCATAGCACACTGTATGTCATATGCCCGTCTTCATTAGCCCAGTTTAAGAGCAGAACAGTAGGACGTTAAACCCCATTTCATTTCATTTCCAATGTACACGTTGGTTTCCCCTCTTTGGTAGTGATTACCAGACTGGGCCTGTGATGATACAGGTTTTACTCAAAATAAAAAAATATTATGATTTACAAGAAAGACGCAACAGAAATACTGCGACCGGTCTTGACGAATAGCGCTAGTCTGCCAGTTGGCGTCTAAGTTAGGATGTCAAACAAGGGAAATAATCCAAATCGAATCTTGGAAAGTGCTAAATAACTTTTGTTTTTGTTTATTTTTTTTTTCAGACCTGGGCGTGGAGTCAGCAGGGAAACATGTAATACGATTCTTTCACAAACCATTTTACTTTTCTTTTTTTCGAAATGAAAGCGATATTTTTTTTGGTTTTTCTCTTACCAATAATTTTGATGTAGTAAGGTTGCTATGGTGATGTTGGAAGGGGTTGCTATGGTGATGTTGGAAGGGGTTGATATATATAATTATATATATATATATATATATAGGGGGTTAATTTGTGTTGAATATTCTGATTAACCCCTATTCGTGCTATTATTATTATTATTATTAATATTATGGTTAACACTTAAAGGATGTATCGACTGATCGTCTATATTGTGTATTTGTGCCCACGTTCTTCTCTCAAAATAGCTTTTTTTCTTTGATAATAGAAAGAAAGAATGTTTCAAAAAAAATGTATGAATAAAAAATACTTCTGATTGAAGCTATGAAAAATGTTTGGAGTTTTTTGCCTCTTCTCCATACCCTTTTATTTTATTAGTGTTTAACATCGAGGAGCCTTGGTGGGTAAGACGCCTTGGTGGGTAAGACGCTGGAGGTCGCGTGTTTGATCTCTGAGAAAGTTCATTAGGATTTTTCCCTTGTCAGTGGTGCAGGAAGGAGGGCCTGACAAGGACAGTTGTCTAGTCATTTGGAAGGTACGGAAAACAGTGGTCCCATGTATACATCCGCCTGCACACAAAAGATCCCTTGGCAGTTGGAATTCAATATAAGAGTAGGCCAAATTTCCTTCAGAGCATACTGTTACAGCATATGCCTGTCTTCATTAGCCCAGTCGGAGCAGAACAGTAGGATGTTAAACCCTATTTCATTTTTGTTTAACATTGACTTCCATTGAGATTGATATCGCAGAAAAGGGGTCTTTAGCAGTGGGAGGACCCAAGAAAACCCACTAGGTTGTACAGGCAACCCTTCTCCTTGTCACATAAAACTGGGGAATCGAAACCACCCCAGTTGACTTAATGACAGACTTATGATACAACGCCTACGTGCTAACCATTCAACCACCTAAAGGTAGGCTTCAATGGACCAACCTATAATAATAGCTCCCATATATCTTATAAATACTCTTAAAAACAGAAGTCATCAAATATGGAGACAAGGATAAAATGCACATGCAGTCTTGGCAGCACCTTGATGTGTGTCCCCTTGAAAATGGTCCAGGACAGAGTGCCTGCAAGGTTCAATGTCTAGTTTTCGGGATTGAACAAAAAACATCAACGTAAAAGAACTTTGGAATTCTAAATCAGAGTAAGCTGTAGCATCGCTGTGGTTTCAATTCCACACTTGTGTCTGAAGAGGAGGAGGTTTGTCTGTCCGGCCTGGTGGCTTGCCTCCCTCCAAAACCTTCCTGCTCAACCTGGTAGCTTGCCTCCCTGCCCAACCTGGTGGTTTGCCTCCCTCCAAAACCCCCCTGCTCCACCTGGTAGCTTGCCTCCCTGCCCAACCCTGTGACTTGCCTCCCACAGCTGAAGACCACTACTTGCAAACAATTTGTTGAGAGAGAAATGGGGTTTAACGTCCACTCGACACAAACTAGGTCATTTCGGGACTAACATGGTTTTAATTTTATTTCCATAATTCGCTTGTGTGTAGGGGTCTTTAGCAGTGGGAGGAAACCGGATGACCCGGAGAAAACCCACGAGGTTGGACAGGCAACCCTAATCCTTGTCACGTACAACCGGGGATTCGAAACCATGCCAGTTGACTCAATGACAGGCCTCATGATACAGCATGCACATGCTAACCAATCGGCCATCCAAACCCCCACAATTTGTTGAAATAAACTGTTCGTCACAGAAAAGTGGGACATTAAACCCCATTTCATTGTACATCACAGACGCCTGGCATCATTCCACCAGATAAACAACAGAATTCAAATATATTTTTTTTTTCTTTTATTTATTTTTACGAATAATTGTGTTTACAAATATTTGAGATAAAAATTGAAACACTGGATACGATTGGCCGATAATATCATTATGCATCCAATTAAGAATACTGGTGCTTGTTTCATAAAGAACTGAAAACAAACAAGTAGGTGACAGAGTTTTAGGAATATACCATTTACCATTTTTATTGATTTTTTTACTTTTATTGATTTTTTTTTATTATTTTGTTATAGAAAATTAATGAAACAAGCCAAAAAAAAAAAAAACCTTAACAGTTCTTTGGAAAACAATTGCTGTATTTTAATAGGAGCTTAAAAATGACTCATTGTAATTGTTTTCCATGGAAATGATGTGTTTAATTACTAAATCTGCTTAAATATCGGTAGTATGTTGAAACAAGCCTTGATTGCCTATAGTAGGTGAATAATTTAAATAATAACATCTTCCCAAGCCAGATTTAAATATTGTTTAATGGTCGAGAGCGAGACATTAAGTAATATATTGCAACAACAAGAGGGACGTAGGCCCACCGAGTGTTTTTATAATATATTACGCAATGTCTTAAGCTCAAGACCATTAAACGACTTAAAATAGAGACACTCCGCACGTGCCTTTACAGTGAAATATGTCACACGAGTCCAATATTTTACTAGTATAAATAATGTACGATTGGCAAGTTGCCCGTACGATTATTTGAAATAATGGTACGCCAACATCAAAGGGTGATGTCACATCTGTATTTTAATAGCCAACGTTACACCTTGATAATGGAGATGGAAGGTGAACCTAATGCATCTGTGTTTGTTTTCGATATATTCTGATCTGGAATTTCACCGATTCAAATGAGATCTGTCAACCTCATGTGACAAATTCTATGTTATTTCACTGAAAAGACGAAAACCATGATACAGTCAATTAGCGTGGCATTGTCGTCATATTCGGCAATCATTACAACTGAAAAGAGTCCGTAGCATTTCATTACCTGGATGACACAGAATGCACAGAAGTGACAAGAGCCGCAAGACCCATGTAGTGTTCCCTAAAGACTGAAGATCATTTAACCCACTGTCGTCATGTAAACCATCATAGTGGCATATGCTGCCATGACAACCAGTCATCGTGACAACTGACAGCTTCAGAAGTACATGTACTTCGTCAAACAGACAACAAAAAATGCATTTAAGTGGCAAGATCCATCCATGATCCTGCAACGCTTGGTATACCGCAAGATCCATAGTCCTGCGATGCTTTGTGTAATTCTCCCTGAAGTCATTTAATGCCCTGATAAAATTCATCTTGTGCCCGGAAAGCCAGTACAATGGTTTATTCAGTTTTACCAGACTGCTATACTGGAAGTTTGTGACTACTATACTGGAAGTTAGTGACTACTACACTGTAAGTTGAGCGAATCTTCAACACTGGTTACTATATGAGCATTCTTTAAGCTAAGCCGGTTTTCCATGCAGGCGCACGTTTTCCCCATTTACATGGAAATGGTCCCGTAACATTTGTACTAGAGCCAACTTTTTCGCCAGCGGAAATGCCTGCCTGGAAAATGGGCCTTAGTTTGATTTTAAACAAATATATTTACAGAATATGCAACATAATGTCATGTAAAATAGTAGATATTTAGTGAACTCATTTACTGGAACTCATAAAAGAAACAATCTTAAAATCAAGACCCAAAAAAGAAACCCTACTTAAAAACACGTATTCATTAAATTCATTAATTAATTTTACAATTTGTCTTAAAGCGTATTACACCAAAGCAGCTCTCCATTTTTTTTTTTGAAACAGCGAAAAGCGAAAGACTTAAAACATAGATTTAACCATTTTGGAACTGATATAACAGATCATGATTTACTGTTTAAAAGCATACATTAAATTTCAATTCCTAAATTTAGTATTACATGTTTAAGTATGGATTCCAGAGAGGATAATGCACTATAACAATTTTAAAAACTTGTTTTAAATAATTTAAAGGGCTTGCCACCAGAAGCAGGTGATATGGCCTATAATAATTTTAAAAACTTAATTTACAAGGCTTGCCAACAGATTCAGTTGACGATTCCTGTCGCTTTAGTTGAAAGGGAAGACATTTTGAATGACCTGCTTATCGAAAGTTTGTAAAAGACAGGACGTCTCATCTAAATTCATGCATGGACTGTTCCCTCTAAATTAATTGTGTGCATGTGGCACACATTGTGCAACAAGCACAAACAAATTAATGTGTGCACAAATTTTAGACCACATGAAAAGAATATTCTGATTGTGAGAAAATCTGATTACAATACAGATCTATATTTTGTTTCGTTTTTTTTATACTTTCGATGGCCTACACTACATGAAGCGATAGGTCGAGTCAGAGGTCATACGAGCGGGTGTTGACCCTATGACGTCAGACATTTGATCAACCAATCAGCATTGATGTTACTTGTAGATTACCCACAGTTCCATGCCAAACACGCCTAAAGCTCGCCGTAACAGACTGTTTCATTGGCTAATCGCTCACATCATTCAGAACACATCAATGATAACAACTCTTCCAGATCTTAGTGTAGTAAAGACAAGTAAAACAAAATTTTGAACTATAAAAACGAAATAGGATCTGTGTACCGTTTTTATTATACAATCCGGTTTCATTAGAAATGCGATATGAAATCATTTGAAGTTTACATGTGTATAAATAATTAGCGCACATACTGTCACAGGAATAAAATTTGCACACCATAACCAATAACTAGAGGGAATGCACACAGGGTTTTTTTTCGTTTTTTTTTTTTACACCAGTGACAAATTATGCCTTCAATTTCCTTGTTTTTATTTTTTTTCATGGACGACATCCATTATAGCACTAATCAGATTTAAAACAAATATCTCCATTACATCGAGATGTAGTACATTTGGGGAATTCATAATCTTTGGTTAATGTGTGACAACGAAACACGATGAATTTCCCAGAATGCCGTAGGACAAATTGATATAAAGTATTCAACATAATGACAAGCCACTCGACAACTGTGTACGATGGTTTCAATAAACGAAGGGGTGCAGATAACAATCCCACACACCAACTTATACCATGGCAACAAATATCAGACCGGAAAAAATCATGTCCATTGTCTAGTTTACGCAATCAAGACTCATTATTACATTGAATACATTACATTAACTTTTTACTAAAAACTAAAAAAAAAACAGGTAATAAAGTTAAAAACTTAATTAAATCGATTAATTATTAAATAACAAAAAAATGCCCAAAACAAACATAAATTGTGACAACTAAAAACCCCAAAAACATCGAGAGAAAATTAAGTTATCGAAAATCAATTAAGTCCTTATTTGGAATTGTTTTCTAATTTGTAACATAATATGTTCGATAAAAAATAAACATGTCCAAAACATATGAATCCAGTTTCTGTCATTCGCTGGAAGAATCCACTTTTGTCTTTAAAACAAGCACCTGTTTCCAGTTGTGTAATATCTTTCAACCTGTTACATAATTATCAAACCGTTTGTTTGAAAAGTTCTGTCGCTAACGTACGCA